CCTCTTAAGACAATGTGTTTCTAGATTTCCTAAAGATAAAGACAAAAAGACATTCTTTGAAAGTGTTCTAATGTGAGCAGTTTAACACAAATTCTATTTCATTCTATTACTTATATTCTTTGTTTTCTCCAAGATGTAAACAGTCGCTGAGTCTCTCAAACCGTTTTTTCCCACTGAGAATTGTAGAACTTCACATGTATTGTTTTCTTTCATGCAGTTATTTGCAAGATGGCCATAGAAGATACTGAACATGAGTCAATTTTCTAACAGCATGGAGGCTGATGTTATTGGCTCAGTAGCACATTTACCACTCAGGGAGGGACAGGGGGAAAAGCTCTAAGTTACAGTTTACAGCTATGAAACTATTACCAAGGAGACTGGCTTCTTAGGCAGCTATGCTGACACCACAGGACAGAGTGCAAGATCAGTGTCTAGTCTTTGGTTTGGCGCTACAGGAATCAAATCTTGTCAGCACACAGCATTGAGATTTCCATAGATCAGCTAACATAGTAGTTCGTTTATTGCTCTTCAAGAACTATAGCTCTACGAGGGGCTGAGTAACTTTTAGTAGCTTGGGCCTTCTCCACATGAATGGGAACACCACTGAGTGAGTGTGTAGGCTGCAAAGGGAGGAAGAGGTTTTACTTGGTAAGACATCTTGAGCCCATAACCACAAATGCCTCTCTGATCTTTGGAAGTGTCAGGTTCTCTATATCCAGTCTTTTATCCCCTTCACAGTCCTAGAGGAGCACCAACAACTTCTACCCAACTTCTGTCTTCAGTGTTGCGTGACCATTAAGCTGTGTATAGCATTCAGGCTGTGTCCTTCTGGCCTCGGACATTTTGCCCCTAAGGTTCACCTATCTATTGCCACTTACACTTTTTTTTTTTTTTTTAACTAATTTGATAAATGGGAGGTACTGAAAGGAAGTTTGATATTTTCTAAAATAATGAACCTGTTTGGTACCTTTTATAACTAGTAGTTTTCAGAATAGACTTTATCAGGGATGAAGATGTAGCAGCTTAGTGGTAGAGCACTTGCCTAGCATGCAGGAAGCCCTGGGCCCAATTCCTAGCATTGCAAAAAAAGGAGAGGGTGCAGTTTAAAGTCAACCAAAAGTGTCAGTGTACCTGAGGTTTTTTGTTTTTGTTTTGGGTGTTACTGGCACTTCATGCAGGCTAGGCAAATGTTCTGCCACTAAGCTATACTCCTAGCATACCTGAGTCTCTCCATAGAACATTGGGCCTCATATTTGTCCACCTAATGGTATAGAGGAATATAATGTATCCACAGCATTATTCATCTACTGGTATAGGTGGAAAATAGAAAAGTTGAATAATCAACAGACTTAACAAAACATTACCAGTTACTTCAAGTCTGCCCTCCCCTCAATTCTTGTTCTTCCTAATATCTTTTTCTTGTGTGCGGAGGTTACTGGGAATTGAACTCAGAGGCAACCACTGAGCCACATCCCAGCCTTATTTTTTGTATTTTATTTAGAGACAGTATCTCACTGAGTTGCCTTGTGCCTTGCTTTTGCTGAGGCTGGCTTTGAATTCGCCATCTTCCTGCCTGAGCCTGTTGAGCTGCTGGGATTACAGGTGTTCACCACCACACCCAACTCCTAGTGTCTTTGATTAAAAATGGGTCTTCCAGTCACAGCTACTGCTGTTCTTTTCCATAGGTTTGCATCTCATAAGAACCCTGTATACAGTTACCTGCAGACACCTGAGAGGTGTGCAGTAAACAAATGAAGGTGCCTGGGGGAGCTGATAGCCTCAACTGCTTTGAATACTATATGTAGTGTTTTGCTCTTGCTTCTTGGGAGAGTTGGAGGCAATTTTTTAGAGCATTAATTGGGAAGGTCATTCTATTTAAGCAGTGCAACCTAGGTGGGGCAGTTTATTGGATTGTATGGACATATGGAAAATGTAAATGGTCTGCTTTATGCTTTATATTAACAACCAGTGAATAAGAAGAAATGTACATTTATTTCTGGTCTTTCTTTGTGGTTCCTGGCACAGAGCTCTAAAAACTTGTGATTTCCTGAGTAATGGATGATAAGGACATCTTTTGTTACAATATTTTATCATGGTGCTCGGCTTCTGACACAAGAGCTTCTTCCTAAGATCCTTGCACTCTCCAAAGTGATGAGTGATCTGGTATGCTACCAAGATGACAGGTAGCTAGGGGCCCTAGGTGGCTTTAGGCTGCAGGCTCAGTCCCAGGAAGATCAAGGCATGGCCAGAGGAAGGGTGATATGCCTGAGAGGACCTGCCCCTTGCCCTGCGCATCACTTCCATGTGCTGTTTCTGAGTTGTATTCTTTATATCAAGCCAGTAATTAACCAGCAAACTACCCTCTTTAATTCTGTAAGCCTAGATTCTAGTAAATTCTCAAACCTGAATAGGGTATTATGGAAGCACCCCCAAGTTTGTAGTATGAGTGCCTAGATTAGTGACTCGTGTCTGCCATGGAAGCATTCTTGTTAGTCTGATCCTAACTCCATGTACATAGTATCAGAATTGAAGTGAATTGTTGGACACTCAGTTGGTGAATTTGTTGACATTATGGAGAAAGGCCCACACATTTGGTGTCAAAAGTGTTGGAGACAGTTCAAAGTGACATGCCCCCATGGTAGTGGTTACCTTTTGCATGTCAGCATGAAAGTGATTTCTGGTCTTCAGTGATAAAGCCACAAGACTGCTCTCGTGGTACATGAGGGCTCCTGAAATGACTAGCACATAATCACGACTAACAAGCTGTTGTCAGTAGTATTGGTTTACAGATCAAGTTGCAAACATGTATCATTCAAAAATGCCATTTCCCTCCCAGAAGTATGTTTGATATATTTGACTAGCAAGTACATATATTCTTTTTAAGTTTTTTTTGTTTAGAACAAAAAGAAAGGCTTTTGATGTTTTTCATTACACTTCCTTTTTGACACCTTTGTGGATCCCCTTGGGGGAAAAAGGAAAGAGTCTTGCTGGAGCTTCTCCCTCGGTCAGACTCCACTCTCAGTGCCCACTTCTGAGCTGGAAATCACCTCAACCTTTTTCTCCTCTCAGTCTCCTCCATATTACCACCCTAAATGCCATCAAGCATTATCTTTAGCATTCATAGGATGTTGGAGACTGTAGGCATTGGGTGCTATGGGATTCACAGGTCTGCTCCTTGGTTATTTGTGTTCCTAGTAAAATATAGTGGGAACATATTATCCTCATTAAACTATTAAAAAAGATCTTTGTGTTAGCACACAATTGATTGAAAGCACCACAAAATATTTGTCAGAAATACGTCTATATTTTTAAACTTGTTTAATTTTTCTTTTGCTTTGTGTAACAATCTTATGTCAGTTGCTTCAATTCTAAATAGAATGTCAGCAAAGCTTTTGATCTTGTGGTCCCCAAACAAAAACAAAAACCACATTTCTGTATTCAGTAGAAGACAGAATTCATCTCTAACAAGGAAAAGAAACTTTTTAATTTTATAATTTAGGCTCTTTTTGATGTACAGCTAAGACTTGGTTCTACTCTGTAGTCCGCACAAGGCCAAGAAAAGGCCAAGACTATCGGTACCACGGTCCCTGTGTCTTCAGGGCTTATTGCATTCCAAACCAGCCTCCTGCTCCAGTTTCCTTCACTAGAAAATTGTCTTCTGCCCTGTAATAGTTTAGATATGAGATGTCCCCTCATAAAGCTCATGTGCAGAGGTGAAATGATTGGGTTATGAGAACCTTAACCTCTTCGTGGATTAATCTGCTGGTATGGATTAAAAGGCAGTAAGTGGGCAGGTGGAGTATGGCTGGAGGAGGTGGGTCCCTGGGGGCATGCCTTTGGCCTTCATGTCTTGTCCTTAGTGAGTGGAGTTCTCTAGGCTTTCTGATTGCCATGTTCTAAACAGCTTTCCTCCTCACCTGGGGCCCAAAGATGTGCAGATAGGGAAACAGCTGTCTGAACTGAGACCTCTGAAACCTGGAGCACTAAATAAACTTTTTCTCTTCTAGAATTGTTATTGTCTGGTTTGGTCACCACAGCAAAAAATTTAAAATGTCTCCCCACCATTTAAGAAACACACATAGGAGGCTTTTTTTTTTTTTTTTTAAAGAATATTAACAATCATTAAGCAGACCTTTAATCATCTTTGGTTTTCATCCATAATTTGACACAAAACCAAAATGGAAGCTTAAAATTGAATATAAGTCCAACTAAGACAAATATTACTCAAAGTCACTTCATGTATTCCTCTTTTTTGAAATGGGCTCATTTCCAAGATAAAAATATATAGATGCTATAAAAGTCATCTACTTGAGAAACCTAGGAAGAAATATATGCCACATTTCATGATACATATTTTGTTCTACCACTTATAATAGTTTATTCTTTATTAAAATGATTTGGTGTCAATGATTTTGGTACCTTTCTGAGAACTTGTAAAATGAGATATGGTATTATGTTTGTGCAAATATTATTAAACTTAAACTCCTAATTTAAAAATTTCACCTTGGGTCATTAGTAATATTTTATAGATCTAATCTTTATTACTTAGCCTTTATTCACAAAATCTATTCCTGATGGAATAAGGTTCTTCCTGAAGATATATTTTTGCTACTAGCTTATTTTTTAAAAAACAAAGGAAATGCCAAGAAATCTCACATTTCTGTTTCTATCAATGAGATTTCTTTATGAACAAGTTTTAATGTATAAGCCAACTATTTTTATTTGCTTGGTACCATATGAATGTATTTAAATAGGAAATACTTAGCTTTAGTCATCAAATTAAGATTATTAACTAAAAAAAATATGCTCAGTAAACTTCAGAATACATGCACCAAGCAAAATAAAAAAGTAATTATATCAGTTGGATTGTACTAGGTAACATCTTTATTCAGTTATGAACTAGATGTTTAGTAAAGCTCAACAAGTACCCCTCTGGAACGGCATAAGTTAGGTCCTGTGGTTGCAAATAAACTCCAATGGTGATTATTTCCTTTCCACAGTGCTCCAACTAAGGCTGCAACAAAGGAGGACAAGAGAACAACTAGTGGACCAGGGCATCATGCCACGTAAGACCCATGTTATTTTCACCTTTGGTGCTTTACAACAAGATGTGCATGTCTGAAGAGAACCTGTGTCCCACCCCCACTTCAGTCATATAGACTGAATTGGTGTACAAATACCAGCCAATTGATGAGGAAAACCAGGCACCGCATGACCAACCTAAGGAAACCATGTGGAATACATTTTAAAAACCAGGTGCAGGTTAAGAGATGGACTTAAAGGTGTTATTTATATAAAATTCAAGGCACTAAAATTCTTCCTTTGAACTTTAAAATTGGTTTTAGTTTTAAAATGACTGAAGTAATCACTCTAATGGGTCTTGAGATTACACTTGCAAAAGTAATGTGATAAAAATCACAACTTTATTCTTAAATAATTCAGATTATCTTTGACGCTATACTGTAGTCAATATAACTAAATGTATCCCAGGTACAAGACTGATAAACATTCTTTAATAAAATCTTTCTGCCCTAAGTATCCCTATAGAGACCTTTGAAAGTTGATTAATTTTAGAATAGTTGTTGTCTTTAATTACAACTTTAGAGGAAATTTTATATTTTACAGGGGAGGAGTGGTTATTCTATAGACTGCAGGATTATTTGAATTTTGTTTAAAAAATAACTTTTCCTAAAGATAACTTATTCAGCTTTAAAACACTAGAAATTACAAAATCAATTTATGCTTCTTAGTCTTCTAAATCACTGCTAGCCTACAAATCATTTATTGGTTTATGATGAGGAACATGTTGCTGATTTTTTTCCTCCAGAGAAATTCTTTTTCTGGACCACTATTGAGTATCTGAATATTTTAAATCTAGTGTTGGAGTCGAAAGCTGCTGATGATGATCTGCCAGATTCCTTCACTATCACATTCCTCTCTTTGAGCCAATCAAACAGGATCCGATTATGATATTTAAGACGACGCCACGAGTAGGCCGGCTCTGGTCTGCTTCTGGGAATTGGTCCCTAGCCAAATCTGCCTGAGCTAGGATCCTGGGAGTCTCTACTTTGTTTTAATAGGACCAGGGCTGAGTACAGTGCTTACAAGCTAATTGGTCATGTCTCAGCAGACCAAGGATTCTAGTCCTGTATCCTGTCCACATAGTGGACACATACAAAAATATGTGATAGGTGGTGTTTTAGTAAACACTCTCTTCACACACACTAAGATTCTAGAATATTTAATATACTGGCAGTTAGCATATTAACTCTCACTCATACAATTTTTTAGAGAGCTACATTGTAGTATGGTAGAAAAAACATGTCATCATTCAGAATCCTAGATTTAAATCCCGTTTTGACAATCAGATAGTTATATGACCTCAAGAATTCAATTAACCTCTTTTAGCCTTTCATCTGTGCTAGGTCTAATACCTACTTTGCAGGGTTGCTGTGAAGGCCCAACAGCAATGTAACTAATTGGCCACGGAGCTAATCCCAGTATGTGTTCTAAATAAATGGACCTGAAACCTCTTGAACGTGAGGTCCCATGTGTCCTCATGTTCAAGATCACAATACTTCCAAGGACATGTGGGCTTTTTCCAGTAGCAAATATGGACATTAAGAGCAAAAACCTATTAGGGAATCATCAAACAGTCCCCTGGGGAATAGAAATTTGCCCCAGTAGTTGGAAGTAGTCTGACTTAATACCTTCATTGTCATTTTGTATACAAGTACATTATTTTAATTCTTAAGGCTTCAAGTTTAGTGGATCTCCTAAAGGAACTAGTAAATAAATGGAACTGTACTTGTGCATTAATTAGATTATCAGTATGATATACTGTGAGATTGGACTGAAGTGTAAACTTTTCTATTTATACTATGGAAAACTATTTTCCCCTCACAGCTTTGAAGAGCCCAGCAGCATTCCATGAACAGATAAAAAGCTTGGAACGAGCCAGAGTAAGAAACTTCACTTTAAAAATGTTCTGCTTCTCTGCTTTATTTTAAAGTACCTGTGGACAAATAGCAATCTTACTATATTTTCTCTGACATATTTAGGGGTATGTCTTCAAGGTACATGGTGTAGACAGCATGTATTCTGGGGTAGCTTGATCTTGGAGATTTGTAGAAAAAATTAATTTTTTAAACCAACAAGTACTTTTATACATAAAAGTACAAATCATACTTCTTCACTTCCTTGCTTTCAGGGTATAACAACAGTTTTTAGAGACATAATACAGAATTCTGCCATTTGTTGCCAAGGAGGACAGCCAAGCGATGTGCTGACTCCAGATGCTTAGGTGATTTCCCTACTTGGTCTCTATTGGCCATGATTTCGACCCAGGGTAGGAGAGTTTGGCTAAATCATAGAACATTGCTGAACTCAACTCTGAGATGACTCTGTCATAGTGTCATAGCACACTGGTGTTTATTATTTTTCTCTGAAAGTGCCATTATATACATTCTTCCTGGTTTTGTTTTTTTTTTTTGGTTTTTTTTGTGGGGGGGTAGATAATATCATGCAGCATGAAAACAAGCATATTCCAAAAATTCCTTAAGAATTTTCCCAGAATGCAATAATGATCTCTGAGAGTCTTATAAAGTTCATTTTAAAGCCCTGTTGTTTAAGTATAATTCCAATTGAGAAAATGCATTACTAAGAAATTTGTTTTCTGAATGGATTTCTATTTGACCTAACATGCAGATTTTGATTTTTTTTAAATATCAAAATAATTAAATCCTATGTCTATCCAAATATCACCTTCAAAATCATGAGCTTTTGACTTTGCCAAGTTTTAAAGTGCATGGACTTTACAGACTTAAGATTTTGAAATCTGCAATTTAAATCATGTGTTGGGTAATAGTTTCTATAGGTATTAATTTCTAGTCTTTCTCTCAAAGACATGACAAAAAAGGGCATATAATTTACTTAAATGGAGTACCTTGAAAAAAATTTAAATAAATCATAAATAACTTAATGATAAGACTTTTACCATTTCCCCCCTCCCCCCAAAGACTGAAAACTTTTTGAAACACAAGATACGGAGTCGACCAGATCGTTCTGAACTTGTCAGGATGCACATTTTAGAAGGTAAAGGTTTTTTTCTGCTTATTTTGTTGTGTTTTCTCAAGCAGTAGGAAAGCCTCCATAGCTATTTATTCCAATTATAATAACTCTTTGCCCCCACCCCAGGCTGACATTCTCCAAATTGGATAGAAACGCTAAAATTCTGTATTATATACAGGGCAAGGTTTGAATCTCCATCATCCAATTGATGGATGGCTTTCCCACCAGCTGGTGCCTCCTCTGTTCTGTTTTGGGCAGGCATTTTTTGATCCAGAGAGTTTCTTTATCATTGAGGAACATGTGCTCTACTCATGAAGTCATAGAGGGCATCAACAGGTCTAACCCCAGAATTTCAGCTATGACCTTGTTTATGTCCACCTGGCTCAACTCCTTACTGCAACTTACCTAAAATATCCAGCCTGATATGAAATTTACCATAAACACCCCTACCAACACACAGAAAGTAAGTGATCTAACCTCATCACTTAGGGTCCTTGTAGGAACAGTTGCATTACATTCTTGCTAAACACATGGCTCAGGCCTAGGTACTTTTCCTCTCTAAAAATAGAGCATTCTTGAAAGCTAGCACCTCTACCAAAAAGTCCCAAATTATATTTTCTTTCATTGTTTTGCTTCTCTATTGAAACTAAGGGCTTAATCCTGTGATAGTTGTGTCTAAGACTTCTTGAATACCTAGAGCCAGTTATTCGGTAGAAAGAAGATCTGTTCTATATAGGCCTGATTAGAATTAGAATTAGGTTGATTTTACGGAAAGTATTAGATTATAGCTTAATATGAGGAATAACCATATTAAAGGCCAGACACTTGTCCAAAAATGAAATCTTAGAGGTGTTCATCCACACTGGCCAGCATACTAGAAACCGAGAGAGAGCAAGACAAATAGATGCCTGCCTTCCTGGAGTTTGTGTTCATAGTGGCAGAGAGAGAGAATGAACAAACAAAACTTGTGAAATTACAGACTATGAATAAACAGGTTTTTGTGAAAGAGAACATCCAGGATGACACTACATAGGATACCATGAAGAAGCTCCAAGTATGCTGGGCACAGTGACACATATCTGTAATCCCAGCAACTCAAGAGGCTAAGCCAGGAGGATCTCAAGTTCAAAGCCAGCCTCAGCAAGGCCCTATCTCAACATAAAATCTACCAAGGATTGGGAATATGGCTCAGTATTAAGTGCCCCTGAGATCAGAAAGTACCAAAAATAAAAGAAGTTCCAAGTACCAAGCTGGTCTCTACCACTCCAAGTAGGGTCTCCTTCAGCCTAAAGCTCCTACTATTAAGTGAACAATAGCAGTAATCCATTTTTCCCTAATGGCCATGTTAATTCAAGTCTGTGGGCATCCATTTGTATAGATAGGTAAATGTCTGTAGAGCTAACAGACTGTATGCTAGTGCATTCTTAAACAGATTGTTCTCTTTCCATAAAGATGATAACTCCTAAATATGTTGAAATCTGTTTAGTGAGTTGACTTGAAATAACATCATGAAATAGAAATAGTAATTCAAGTAATGGTTAAAACTTTCCTCTTTTAGAAACATTTGCTGAGCCATCCCTGCAAGCTACTCAGATGAAGTTGAAAAGAGCTCGACTAGCTGATGATCTGAATGAAAAGATTGCACAAAGGCCGGGACCCATGGAGCTGGTGGAGAAGAACATTCTTGCTGTGGACTCTGGTGTCAAGGAGGCAATGATAGGCAAGAGCAGACTTCACCGTCTTCTGAGAGAGGGTTGGAGCTCTAGAGGAAAGGCCAGCACTTAACTAGAAATAAACACTTACAGTAATTCTTGTTACTATTATCTTACTACTAATTAGGTTAGCATCTGCTACCAGTTAACTCAGAGTCCCCTTTTATGATTGAGGTTTAAGCCTGCTGTTATTTCATTATCACATTTTCTAGGTTAAATCACTATATTATACTATTTAGGATGTATAATATTTTTACAAACTTTTCATTGTTTTATTTTCTATTTTCTTGTAGAAAAGATAGCTTGTTCAGGAAGGAGAATAGCAGATGAATATGGATGTATTCTTTCAATGGTAGTTATCTGTCTGCTTTATCCTGGTCTTATCATATTTACTGATTTTTGTTTTGTTTTCCCCTGGTGCTGGGGATTGAACACAGGGTCTGTACTTCTTATGCATGTGCTCTTCCACTGAACTACACCCCCACCTCCAGTATTACTCTTTCTGGTATAAGCTTTAATGGAGAAAAATCCTTTCAAGAATAATGCTACTTATTCTGTAAGCAATATTGAAAAGTTACTGTCCTATCTTAAAAACTATAGCTTCCCTTAGACCTGGGCTTTTCATATTTTACATTAGTGACTTTAACACATTGGCAGTTTATACTCGTGAATTCTCATCAGACAAGTATGATTCTATTCAGTTTTGGAAATTGGCCCTCCAGAAAATGAGAATCTAGCTGGGCTTTTCCTTGAAATAGGAGCTTCTCAACTGATGCCCCGTAATAACCTCGTTTTCCCCATTGCCTTTTTTTTTAATATTTATTTTTTAGTTATCGGCGGACACAACATCTTTGCTTGTATGTGGTGCTGAGGATCGAACCCGGGCCGCACGCATGCCAGGCGAGCTCGCTACCGCTTGAGCCACATCCCCAGCAGCCTTATGTTTTTTAGTACTTGAATTACATGATAGGGTCCAGACAAGGTCTACTCATTTGCCTTCGGCTGGTGTATCTCAATCTTCTTTTTCCTTCCCTTTTTTATCTATTGGTGGACAAAACAGGCTCGTATTGTCCTCTAGCATGCCTCATTCTGCATTTTCCTGATTGTATTTGCATTCCCAGATGTCACTAAAAATATTCCTATCCCCGTGTTTCCTGCAACTGATAGTTGGATCCACATTTTTCCTCCCTTCCCACAGAATACATCACAGGTAGTGGTGTGTGCTTCCATTGGGAAGTTTTTTATATTCAGTTGTAATTTAAGAGCTTCTCAATTCTTCTGGGAAATAGTGTTCCTCCTCTTTCATAGTAAGCTTGATATTCCAGGGCCTTTGTGAGTTAATATTCATTTCTTCCTCAGGTGTTGGGAAGGACGACTATCCCCACACTCAGGGTGATTTCTCATTTGATGAAGACAGCAGTGACGCTTTATCTCCAGACCAGCCAGCAAGCCAGGAATCACAGGGGTCAGCCGCATCCCCGAGTGAGCCAAAAGTTAGTGAATCCCCATCTCCTGTGACTACAAACACTCCAGCCCAGGTATTATTTTTCTGGTTTTGACCCCTAAAAAGTTTCCTGTTTTTTATATAGTGTATAAAGCAATGCATTTTTTTTTTTTATGAGAGAGGGAGAGAGAATTTTTTTAATATTTATTTTTTTAGTTATCGGCGGACACAACATCTTTGTATGTGGTGCTGAGGATCGAACCCGGGCCGCACGCATGCCAGGCAAGCGCACTACCGCTTGAGCCACATCCCAGCCCCAGCAATGCATTTTTACCAGAAGAAAAATGAAAGGTTAAAAAAAAAATACTTTTCAGCACTGTGAATGCTGTTTTCAGTGATTCTTACCTATTATTTCTGCTGTACATACACATTTTGCAACTTGCTTTTTAAAAGCCTCAACATTTCCTGACATGTGTTTTCACATAAGATTTTTTTCTATCATTGTACAACAGATCTCAACTTTTTTTTAAATAGCAAAACTAAAATTTTATACCCAATAAACAACTCTTCCATTCCCATGTGTCTTCTGCTCTGTGAGCTACGACTACTCTACATACCTTATAACAGTGGGATCCTACAGTGTTTGTCTTATTTCACTTACCATAATGTCCTCAAGGTTCACTCATGTTGCAGCATGTGACAGGATCTCCTTTTTAAAAACTGAATAATATTCCATCTTTGGAGAAATGTCTATTAAAGTCTTATCCCCATTTTTAAATCAGGTTACTTTCTGTGATGAATTGAAATTCTCTAGGTATTCTAGGTATTAATCCTCTGCCAGATCTATGGTTTCATGTGGTTGGAAACACTTCCTCCCTTGGATTGCTTCTTCACTCTGTTGCTTTTGGTGCAGTTTTAGATTTGGTTTACTCCCATTGTCTGTTTTTATTTTGTTGCCTGTGCTTTGGTCACATCTAAAACATCATTGCCAACGTCATTAAGCTTTCCTGTTTTCTCCGAAGAGCTGTTCTTTCCTCATTGGATGGGCTTGGCACCCTGTTGAAGGTCATTTGACCATGTACAGGAGGGTGGACTTCTGGATTCTGTTCGGTTCGGTTCCACTGGTCTCCATCGTCTATCTTCAGGCCAGTATCACTCTTTTGTAGCAAGTTTGAAATCAGAAAGTATGAGAACTCTACCCTTTGTTCCACTTCTACAGTAGAGTTCTTTGAAATTCCATATGAATCTTAGTATAAACTTTTTTTCAGGGAAAATTCACCTTTTTGAAGATTCTGTTGAGTTTTAATATATTCAGAGTTGTACAACCATCACCCAAAAAAATCCACACCCATTAGCAGTGTTGCGCCTTTACCCCTTCACCCAAGCCTGGGAAACCATGCTTTCTGTCCAATTTGCCTTTTGTAGGCAGTGCATATAAACAGTTATATACTATGTGACCTTTATGACGGGTTTCTTTCACTTTTAGTGAAATGTTGTGAGGATCCAGCCATGAGATGGCTGAGAATCCACCCAGGGCTTTACTACTGAGCTACACACCTGGCTCTGAGAATTGAGTGTTTTAATTCGATTGTTGTTGTTACTGACATTGAATTCATTTGTTTAGAAACTATTTGAGCACCTATGTCAGATATTATTTTAGCACATGCAAAGGAATCTAATGAATATTTTGATAATTTCATTAGAAATTAACATTTTTTAATGAGTTTGCTGGTTTGACAAGAATTCCTATGGTGCACATCATTTGTTCTTCATCTCGCCTTATAGTGTTGGGCCTTACTATTGAACTGCTTAATAGAAGTAGTCCAGTGCAGCAAAACATGCTCTTCATGCTCTTATATTGTAAGCACTATAGAACTAATTTGGAAAGGAATTTAAGAATTATCTGCTTAACCCCTTGCATAAAAGGCAGCCTGAGTTCACAGAGGTGTAGAGTTTGGAGAGCAAACTTTTTTCATCATCTCTTCCTACTTGTGAGCATCTATTAGGAAAAGTGTCTTTCAGCATTAATTTCTTTATTGCTTTCATTTGTTGTCTCTGTGCCTCCAACTAAAATGTGAGCTTGTTACAAGAGGGATCTTGATTCTCAGAGGACTAGAAGTCCTTGGAGGGATGTGTATGTGTTCAACAGCTAGCACAGGGCCTGGTGCAGAAAGATACTCAGAAAACTCAAGCAGCAGTTCAGACTGATGCTACTTGTGGAATGCTGTAGAAATTTCTGTTCTCCTTCCATAGGAGTGGAGATAAAATCCTCCTATCAAAGCTCACAAGAGAGACTGGGCCTGGAAGAAGGATGAGGGTCAGTGACCAGCCCCTGATGGGTCTTCACGAATTTGCTGCACCCTGGTTTGAGCTTTATTTTTAAAGCTTAAAAGAATGTCAAGTATGCAAGAAAATACCATAAAAAAGTTCTCATCCATTTGGGTTGTCTGTTCTCGGAGTAGGTCAGGATGTCAGATGGCTATTAGTATGGCCTTAGTGACACACAATTTTTGTCATCTGTCGGCGGCTTCACTATAGTTCTGCCTGCATAAGAGGTTATCATTCTCCTTTCCCGTGTATTGCTTATATCATTGCATTTTTTCCTTTGCAACTTGGCTGAAGACAAAGTTTATAAGTGACAGGCTTTAACCAGAGGGAGTCACACCCAATGCTGACATTCCAGAATTATTTGAAAAATAGAAATGGCTTTTTTTCATTGAATAAATATGAAAAGCCGGGCATGGTTGCACACGCCTATAATCCCAGTGACTTGGAAGGCTGAGGCAGGAGGATCTCGAGTTCAAACCTAGCATCAGCAACTTATCAAGGCCCTGGGGATGTGATTAAGTGCCCCTGGATGCTAATGAGGCACACACACTAAGGCTTGGGTCAGTCCTGAACTGAGGCTTTCAAGCCTTTGGAGTACCCCACAAGGACATAGGTTCAATTCCCAATACAATGAAAAAAAATGTAGGATGAATAGTCTCCTTAATTCTTAGCTGCTAGAGGATTAACGGTATCCAAATATTAAAAACACCCTTTACCAAAAAGTTTTACATACAACACCTAGGTAAAGAACCAGTTTTTCAGGCACTTCTCTTGCGCTCCTACAACCAAAATGCTAATGACCTAGCAATACAAAAAACTATTTTGAAGTAGGCATTTCTGTATGCTCTAACACCAAAACTGTTCCTGGATTACTCCATTCTGCTCAAACTACAGCTAGAAAGGAATTTACCCAAGTATTAATGGAATATACATCAGAAATTGGAGCTCAACTTATTTTATGCTTAAGCAACTTTGAACAATGGAAAGCTGTAGAAAATTAAAAATGGCTGTAGCTACATGTGAAGTGGTTACACTGGTCCTTTCAATACAGAGATTCTTAGCAAGTTCTTAAGCCCTTAAATTAATCATTTGTTATAAATACAGTATTGTTTAACCATTACCTAATGGGATTTATGTGAAGTTTAGTAATGCTAAAAGAAACTTGTTGATCAACTATTCAGTGTATTTTGGGGGACATACACTTAGGAGCCTTTCATAAATTTTTTCCCATTGTACCAAGTAACACTCAGGTATATGACCTTTTGTCAAATGTAGAAATCTTAGGTTTAAGCTAAAAAGGAAAGTAAGCAGAGTCTATAGCAAGCCATATGCACATATATTAAATAATCAAAGTTAGATGAACTCTGATCACAAGTACTTATCAATAAGGACCTGAATAAGACATAGACTCCATTATTACCCCTTTGGTTATGCTGCCTCTTACAGTTTCACAGTAGAGGCTGGAAAATCTGTCTCGTTCCAAGTTTTAACTCAATTTTCTGTGACTAAAAGCAAACTACCTAGAATAGTGCATTATGCAGAAAAGACCTCACCTATTTATAATGATGAATCTTCATTGAAATGATAAAACATGCTGAGCACTCACGGTGAGGCAGACACTAAGCTGCTTGCTTTGAATGTATTACCTATCATGCAAAAGGGGCATCTGATTCACTGAGGGTTCAAATTAATGACCATTTTCTCATTAGACCAATAGTTCAAGATTATTTTCCAACACTGCTATAGTTTGGGTCTGGAATGTCCACCAAAGCAAAGTCTTGGTCATCAGCCCATGGAACTATTGAAACATGGGAGTTTGCTTATCTAATATTGGCTAATAATTTGTGATTTCAGAGGGGGTAGAGCTCTAAAGTAGCATTTCAAAAAAATATTTTTAGTTGTAAATAGACACAATAACTATTTTTTATGTGGTGCTGAGAATCAAACCCAGTGCCTCACACATGCTGGGCAAGCGCTCTACCATTGAGCCACAACCCCAGCCCTAAAGTAGCATTTTTTTTTTTAATGTGACTAAATTTGGTATTAAGATAGAATGTCATGCCAGGCTATGGTGAAACACCTGTAATGCCAGACACTCGGAAGGACTGCAAGTTCAAGGCCCGCCTGGACAACTTAGCAAGACCCTGTCTCAGAATAAAATGAAGGTTGGGAGTGTGGCTGAGTGGTAGAACACCCCAGTACCATATAGCAGGGCAATGGAAGGAAATGTCCAATTCCATGGTAACTACAAAGAAAATATCTATAGAATTTATGTAAAAGGACAGGAGAAGGGAATCAAAACAAGTCACTACAAAGTCAACCAAATACATAGATGGAAAGATATCCTGTGTTTTTAAGGTATTGATACTACCCAAAGCAATCTACAGATTCAATATAATCCCTATTTTTATAGGGATTATAAGTTTTGGCAGAAAAAGTCAAGGGACCTGAATTTTTTTTTTTTTTTTTAAATGTTGACAGTCTTACCTTTTTTAATTTTTAAACTCACTGCAGAGCTACAGTAATTAAAATAATATGGTACAAGCAGAAACACTGGTATTCAGAGGTGTGGAATAGAGCAGAGAACTAAGAAACTTTGACATTCATTTTCAGATGATCTTTTACAAAGGTATGAAGACTATCCAAGGTGGAAAAGACAGTCTCTACAACGAATGGTACTGGGAAAAGTGGATATCCACAGGCAGAGGATGAAATTATATTATATTTACCCCAGCATCAAACACAAAAATTAACTCAAAATGTAAGAGCTAAAACTATAAAAACTCTTAGAGGAAAAATCTTTGATACTAGTTTTGGCAATGATTTCTTGGATTTGACATTAAGTCAACAAAAGTGAAGATAGACAATTGGGTTTTGTACAAAAGTTATTACTTTTGATAACGAGTAGTATCAGCAATGTGAAAAGCCAACCCAAGAATGGGAAAAGAATATTTCAAAACCATATATCAGGGCTGGGGGTTGTGGCTCAGTGGAAGAGCGCTCGCCAAGGCATGTGTGAGACCCCGAGTTCGATCCTCAGCACCACATTAAAAAAAACAGTAAATAATATAAAGGTATTGTGTCCAACTACAACTAAAAAATAAATATCTAAACATTTTTTTAAAATAATATATGAGCTAGTATCTGGTATATATAAAAAAAAATTCCCACAATGACAGAAAATAACCAACCTTATTCCAAAATGGGCAAACGTCTTGACATTTCTCCAAAGATATACAAATGCCCAAACACAGACAAGACACCCCAGTGGGAATGTCAAATGGTGCAGCCACTATAGAAAATGGTGTTGGCTCCTCCCTCTCTATTTTTTTTATATATTAATATAAAAATACATATATTTCAAAATTCAAACATTTGGTTCTACTTCGTGTACTGGTTATATAACAGTTAAGGAATGAGTTTTCCCCTCTGTGAAAATGAACCTAGAAATAAGTATACTCATTTCCAAAAATTATGCAAGATAGGAAAACAAGATCCTCTAACAGGTCGTCAAGACATCACCTTTCATCTGGTGTGTAAGTTTGGTTGGTCAGAGGTTCGTTGAGGAACTGGACATCTCAGGCTTGTTTAAGGGCAGAAGTCTGCTGGAATATGAGGATAAAGTCTCTTAGATGAGTCCTTTACCTCCTGAAATGAAATTGAGTACAGACATCTTTACAAAGTAGACTCATTTATATTGTCAATAATTACTTAAAAGCTGAAGTCAGTAGCAAAACCTCAAGGAGAAAACAGACATGGGCATGCACTATTAATGGCAGTCTCACACACATGGTCTCATTTGGGCTGGAAAACGTAACCTAGCTGAGTGAAGCCAAAAGGATAACTGAATATTTGTTGAGTAACTATGTGCCAAGCTTCATATTTCTTGCTGCTAATAAAAATAAAAGACCTGAAAACTCATTAAGAAGAATATAGTTTGCTGTTTTACAACCCGAATACTTAAATAGGAGTATGAGTTTGACTGTTGGTGTAATGAATTTGAGAGTTGTTTGGGGAAGTGAAAGTAAAAAAAAAACGAAGACTTTTTCTTTAAGATAAAACAGGTAATAAGTAAGTCCAAGTAAGAGCAACATATAACATTCAGCTGATTTATCGTAATGTAATCTATTTAAAGGAGATTGCTAGTAAGGATTGATAAAGCCCTTTCCTTCTGTGGCTTCCTGTGTTGATCTATGGGCTCCATATTGAGATTCAGTAGCTGTTGTTTGGACCTGGGAAACAATGCCATCTCGAAATGAAAAGCTGCTTTGTCAGAAAAACAAGTCAGTCTTGCCAGAAGATATCCTCAACTCTTCTCTTGGAAGAAACAGGGCAATGTGGTTCATGAGAGTGCTAGTCAGGCTTGCAGACGGGAGTTGGAGAGCACGTTTAAGGACTCACAGGTGGAGTGGGCCTCCATGAAGAGATGCTGCCCAGTGTGGGAACAGGGCATGGATCCTTTGGGTTCTGCAACAAAGACAAAAATACCATATCAGTATTTTTAGAATTGGCCAGGGTTAGTGTGACCGGTCTAGCAAGAAAACCTTCATAAATACCATGTATTGTTTTGATCATTTTTACAATCTTGGACTTTTTTTCCTGCCAAAAAAGGGTGGTTCTCTGAGAAATACTAGGGTTTAGTCACTCTAACCTTATTTAGCTTCAGCCACTCAGTGTTACAGGGGCAAAGACTGAATAACTGGCTCCAGTGAAGTAAAGCATCTTGTTCCATCATCCGGATATCAGACAATAGTATATTTTTCCTTTGTTTCTAATGAGGTCATTCCCTTTTAATTCTAACTCTTCTATTTTTTATGGTCACTGATTTCACAAACTTTTTCCTTTTCTGCCTTTTCCACCAGTTTACTTCAGTGTCCCCAGCAGTTCCTGAATTCTTGAAAACTCCTCCAGCTGTGGACCAGCCTCCCACAAGGTCCACTGCTCCTGTCCTCCCCACGAACACTGTGTCCTCAGCGAAACCTGGCCCAGCACTGGTGAAGGTGGGTACTCTGGTGCACAGCCTTGCAGAGCTTATTGCACTTCTGTCTGGAGTCCGGACAAAAAACGGAGGCATCACCCAAGCTTCCCAACCTGCCTTTGATCCCGAAGCCTTGAAAACTAACCCATGAAAGCCTAGCTAGACTGGGGCCTTCATTTGAAACTGCCACAGTTAACACAAGACCTGTTGTTCTATAGTCACAGAAAAAGGGCACAGAATTTGGCCTACATAAAACTGCTGGGGCAGAGTAGCAAGGCTTCAGGAATCCCTTCATCAGCAGTTCCAAGTTCTGCCACTCAGGCTACAGAGATGAAATGGGGGGCACGGTAAGATGGAGTTGCTTCAGCACAGCACTTGAGACTCAAAGCCTCACAAACAGATGTCTTTAAGGCAGCATGGTTTGGAACTTGGTGTACAAGGTTGATCTCCGTGGTATTTTGGATAGATTACGTGACAGATTAAAGGTTTTAGAGAAGCAAATGTTTTTTCATTTAGCAGATTTGGCCAGATGAAGCTTGGTTTGTTCTCAGATAAGCTTTAGATTTGTGGCTCTGTTGCCTGCATTTACTTGGTCAGAGTGAATCCAAATAAATCCCAAGAAAGAAAATTTGACAGTACCTTTTTGAACTTCTTAATGAAATAGATGGGGAGAGTAAACTGAGGAACAGTCTAAACATTTCCTAGGTAGCTTGTGCCAAAACTGCCAGAATACATATCTCAGCCCTTTAGGACTGAAGAGGGACATTAGAGAGGCGATCTTTCCCTGGGGTCCAGAGGCAGCAAGAAGCCACAAGGCCAGGAAGCGGCCGGGCCACCTCCCACATTTGGGTTCAACCTTCTTCCCGCCTTTGCAGCCTACTGCAACCTCTTCTGAGGCAAGGGAGTAGCTTTCAGACTGGAGTGGCACATATTCCTCCCTCCCATCTCTCTACTGGAGCTTGTCCTTACTGAGAGGCACTCTGTCAGCATGACCAAGTGTCTGTAGCTTTAGGACATACATAAGCATATGTCACCATCTCTGGAAGAGTGATGAGTGACAACTACACCAATAAAATCGGCCCTTGCCACCTCTTCCAGCATCTCTACACACTCTCCACTGACAGCAGAGAGCGTGCTCTGAATACCAGCCCATCTATATCTACTAACAGTGAAAATTAGCTCTCTGCTTCCCCCTCTGAATTTCTGCTTTTCACTGGTGTCTTTCAGGAAGTCTTTGGTTCTAGAGGAGCAGTGCTATTGGAGAATGTGGATTTCAGCAGTGGAGTAGGGAACCCTAGGACAATGGCTAGGTCACGTTAGGAAGTGGACCATGATTCTTTTGGCTCTGCTATGAGGGGAACTGTTTCCTACCCTCACTTACTAAAAGAACACATGTGCTGCCATTAGGGGAGATAGCAGATGGAGCCTGCGATCCACTGGCCATTACGTTTATGAATCCTCCAGGTTGGGTCCCTTTGTAACAATTGTACTCAAAATATACTTAAATTAGTTAAGAGAAATATCTAAACTCCTCTCCACATTGTTAATCTTTTTGGCCCTTCTAGAAAGGGCCAAAACCAGAACAAAACAACACCCTCCCTACCCAACGTTGGTGGTAGGCTCCTTCTGGCTAAAGTAACTAAAAGCGTTTAAATACTAGTAATTTGGAAATGGGGAAAAAAGAGGATTAAAAAAGTATCCAGGCTCTGGGCTGGGGCTGTAGGTCAGTGGTAGAGCACCCGCCTCGCACGTGTGAGGCACTAGGTTCGATCCTCAGCATCACCTAAAAATGAGTAGAGGGGTTGTATCCATCTACAACCTAAAAAAAATTTATAAAGGGTACTAACCTTGTTCCACAGTAAACTGAGCAGTGTCTTAAAGCCTTAACAAGAGTACCAGATAGATATGTGTACATTGCCATTAAGACCCAACTTTACCTTGTGGGCTAAAGAATCACAGTTGTTTCCCTAAAGAAAAAACAAAGCTGCAGACATTACCATCTTGTTGGATCTGATCACTGCTCCTACCCGCAGGTTATAGGTCTCAAGCCACATTTTGAGTATAAATAATCCTTATTAATTTTTTATGATCAGTTTGAAAAGACTAAAATCACTGATAATAAAAAATAAGCAACTCATAGTGAATTAATGCTACCGGTGTACTTGATCAGGCAAAAATATTTTCTGACAGTGATAAGTACTTCAAGTACCTGATCATTAAAATGATTTCTGCTTACAGTCATCATTCCTCCACTAGATACTACTTATACCTTCTATGGTGCCTGCCACTGTTCCGGGTCCTAGGAGATAGATGAAGCAATGAGCAAAATCTCAAAAGTGCACCCTTAAAATAAACAGACCACAAAGAATAACACAGAATAGGGAGTGCTGGGGCAAAGGTGTGCTTCTGTTTTAAATAGGGTAGTCTGGTGACTTTGGGATGGAGATCTGACAGAGGTGAAGGTATAAGCCATGAGTCTATCTGAGAAAGAAGCCAGTACAACTTGGCCAGGGACAGCCCAGGATAAAAAGCAAACCCTATAGCTAGGGAGCAGTGAGAACAGAAGGGTTGAGCCTATAGCTGTCAGGAGAAGCTCTTGGAGGGCGAGATCTGGAGCGTTACACACCGTGGAGGGGCGGCAGCGGAAGCAGAGAACTGGTGAAGGTGGCATCTGTCAGGGAAGTCACAAGTGACCAGCTTCTGAGTGGAATTTGAAGGCTAATAAGCTGGCAGGGTTTGCCAACAGATTGGCCCTATGGGTAAGAGGGGTCCTGGACCAGTCGCCATTTGTGTCTAAGCAGTGGGGATTACTGTGAAGGGAGGGAGCACACCCGAGTTTGAGGTGCTTAGCAGACACCTTAAGCAGCTAAGGACAAAAAACACAGAAGTCATCACTGTATTTGTGTCCCGAAAGCCACAAGAGCCCAGAAAAACTGCCTAGGCTCAATGTAGAGGAAGAGGTGATACAAGAACTCGGGCATGCCACCAGGGGGACGTGGGAAGGGCAGGACAGGCAAAAGAGCCCAACGAGAAGCAGCAAGGAAGTGGGCCAGGGACAAAGCCAAGGGAAACCTCAAGGAAGAGGGAGAGAGGAGCTGCGACAGACACTGCTTTGGGTCTGTCACAATGAGTGCTGTGGTTAGCACCGTCAAAGTTAAGTGACGTTGCCAAGGAACAGATTCTCTTATGTGCTAGAAGCAAAAATTTAGAGAGTGAAAGATTAAAAGGGAGAACTGGAGAGAGTGTCATAGCCTTTTTGAGGACCTCTACTAGAAAAGAAGCCCATAGCTTGACTGGAATGTGGGGCCAAATTGTGTGAGCCCACGGGCAAGAACCAGGAGAGCGGCAGGCATTGCTACGTGATCACTATGTATGGGCAAGGGAACGTTGCCTCAGTCAAAGTGCTGAGGTGCTGGCCTAAGGCAGCAGCACCCACTGTTGGTTCTCAGCCACAGGAAAGAAAGCCACCTACAGTGTCAGGAACAGGTGGGCACTGGGGACATGAGGAAGCTCTGTGTCAGTCACTTCCTCAGTGTTTAGGAAACAATGCCATCAGGTGACAGTGAGCACGGGGAGAAGGTAGTAAAGGTTTGAGGAGAGAAGATAGATGGTAGTATTCTAGAAGAGTAGGAAAATAATGGGATTAAAACAAGGTGATAGAATGGTCAGGTGGCACTGACCAGCCATTGAAGTTGATGGTCGTGAATTTAAAGGGAGATGGGTTGGAAGTGTTTTGCCTGCAGCACTTCCACCTCCGTGAGTATAGGCATGGCATGAACCAACAGTTCTCACTAGTCTGCCACCCTGCTACAGGGACAGTTGACAATGTCTAGAGACATTTCTGGTTGTCACAGCATCAGGAAAGAGTGGCTACCAGCATCTGTTGGAGAGAGGCCGGGGACACTGCTGACCATCTTGCACTGCACAGCATAGCCCCCACAGCCAGTATTACCTGGTTTAAAATGTTGATAGAGCTACTATTGAGAATCCCTAAAGTAAGCAAAGAATCAGGTTAGGGTTTGGGAGGTGAGAGTGGCAAAGGTGGGTGAGGCCTGTGAGTGAAGCGTGGGAGATGGTAAGGAGAGGAGAGCACAGCTGTGTAAAGGTGTGAGTGGAGTGGACTGTAGCCTTCGGTGGCATTGGGGAAATGGAAGTGGCACCTTGGATGGAACAAGTCAACATAATAAGTGGTAGTTCTTCAGTTAGGATGCTGGGAGGTAGAAGACATGATCTCAGCACTAACCAGAGAGAGAGTGGCTGCGAGAGGAGATGAGCTATCCAGAGGAAGTGAAATCAAGGAACTGATACTAGAATATCGGAGGATTGTCAGTATGGTTGTTAAAAATCACTGGGAGTAATGACAAGTGTTGGAGAAAGTAAGACAGGAATTGCTGGGTTAAGGACCTGATAAAGAACTGAAAGACAGCCGGGTCATGTGGTCCAGTCTGAGAGAGGACGAGTCACAAGGATAAATCCTCTCCATATACCTTTTTATTTGCAGGGAGAGATGGTACTGGGGATTGAACTCGGGGGGACCCAACCACTGAGCCACATGCCCGGCCTTTTTTTTTTTTTTTTTTTTTTAATTGAAAGGGTCTAAGTTGCTTAGCACCTCTCCATTACTGATACTGGCTTTGAACTCGCTAGGCTTCTGTCTCAGCCTCCCAAGCTGCTAGGATTACAGGTGGGCACTACCGCGCCCGGCCACAATTACTTTTTATAAATTCTTACAAGTGTTCAAAATTAGGCTACTAGTTAGATCATGTTATTATAGTGACGTGCTGGTCAGTGTGTAACAACTTGGCTGAGGTCAGAGAGAGAAGTCATAGCATTTGCCAGTTCTCCTGGTGTAAGTTCCCTCCATCACTGAGTGCAGAACTGGGAAAGCTGCATACATTTGGCTCTTGGACCTCACTCACTGTGTTCATAAACTGTTTTGTAATATAGCCACAAAAACCATGTTGCTGAGTTGTTCTGACAAGGGGAAAATTCTTGATATATCAAGTGAAGGACAAAAAGGAACATTTCTAGTAAGCATAGATAATATCATAGGAAGAATATACAAAAGAACATTAATAGTGACTATTTCTGGTCTGATACACTGTGGCAGTTTTTTGTTTTGGTTTCTTGGGGCTTTTTGTGCAGTTTCCTAATTATATATGAACATATATAACGTGACCAGTCAACATTTAAGTACTTCTCAAATTACTTTTTATTAAGTTATGTTGTTACCTAAAGCAACTTAGAAATAATTTCCTAATGATTTTCCATTTTGGGGGGAGGTGGGGTGACTGTTTCCACAGATGAAATTACTTTATGAATACCGAAAACTACAAAATGATTTAAACCTAGTTTGGGTGGTGCATGCCTGTAATCACAGCAGCTCAGGAGACTGAGGCAGGAGGATCACAAGTTCAAAGCCAGCCTCAGCAACTTTAGAGACCCTCTCTCCAATTAGAATATTAAAAAGGGATGGGAATGTGACTCAGTGGTTAAATGCCCCCGAGTTCAATCCCTAGTACCCCCCCCAAAAAAAAAAATAAGGTTTGATAATTTATAAATTAAGAACTACTCAAGAAAAGTTACGACTCAATCATAAGATGAGGGATGCATGGTATTCCATCCCATTTTCAAAGTAAAAATGTAATATGTTTGAAAGGTCTTTAAATTCACATTAAATATTTTAGATTTTTTTTATATTCTGCTTTACTCTCATTAGAATCATTTGTTTTTATATGTTCTCCATATTTAAAAGGAAATTAGTGAAATACACTTAATCTTTTCCCTATTGTGTATTTCACATACAACCCGTTTTTTACTAGGAGATAACAGCAGAACCAAAGTGCCCGTTTGAGGAATTTAAGGAGGTAATGCTGGACTAAGCATCCAGCCTGCACTCTTAGGGAACAGTGGGGCAGGAGAAAATGCCTTGGTCAATGTAAGTATAGAGATGTTTTTATGGCTCTTGAAATCTATTTAGTATATTGCTTCCCATAGTAGTTACAGTGGGTTCTAAGGTACACTGCTTTTTAATCGTTCAGACTCATAGCAGAATCAATTTTATGGAATGACATCTCTTAAAAATATTTTTTCCCCCTCAAAAATAGCAAAGCCATCCCAAGAATCCAAATGACAAACACCGTAGCAAAAAGTGCAAAGATCCTAAACCACGGGTAAAGAAGTTAAAGTACCACCAATACATTCCACCCGATCAGAAAGGTGAGAAGAATGAGCCACAGATGGACTCCAACTACGCCCGCCTGCTCCAGCAGCAGCAGCTGTTCCTGCAGCTGCAGATCCTGAGCCAGCAGCAGCAGCACTACAGCTACCAGACCATCCTGCCTGCACCAATCAAGTACGGGCGGGGTTGATGCACTTATAAAGTGGATTGTATTGTGGGTTTTAGGAGGACCTCAAGTTACCAAAGTTCAGATGTGCTGACTTATTTGTAAGCAGTGATTACTTTCAGTTTGTTATCAAAGCTTACCTCACCATAGTGTCTAAAGTCACACAGTGAGAATGGGTACATTTCAGTGCAGGTTTTGTCCTCTAAAGTAGGGGCTGGGCTTTCACAAGTTAGACATACCTTCTCACAATTATTCATTGAGGAAAGATATGCCTGTTGTATACTCAAAAAGGTATCAGATATTATGAAAACACCTAAGCAACATAAACAACTACAAAGGAGAGATGGGTGTAAACACAGGAGTTTGGTGAGATTAGCAAGATTATGTTCACGTGGACAGCTCAGGAACAGGAATGGGTAAGCAATACTGTGTACTGGATGGTAAGGAAGAATTCCTGAATGGAGAATGTGATTAAGAAAAGGGAGAGATAATCGAGTAGAGTCAGTGTCTGCAGGAATTTGAAGTTGGGCGGAAGATGTGGTAGACTGAGTGGCTCAGGACAGTGGTGGTGCACAAGACTAGGGAACAGACCCAAGAGGACAAAGAGCACAGAATGAAAGGAACAGGAAACAAGTGAATGGACAGTGATGCCCCAGCTGTGGAGAAGAAATATGGTTCCCAAGTTTGATCCAATAGTGAGGGACTTAGGGAAGCAAGGCGTCCGACACCAAATCCACAGTCGCAGCAAGATGCCCATGGCTTGTTTTGATGATGTAATATAGGAAGTTTCCAGGTGCCCATTCCCACTATGTATTTTTATTTGTGAGTACCAGAAAAAGCAGAGGACCTGTCCTCTTCCCTCACTTTCCAGGAAGTAATGCCAGCATTTGACCCTAGAAGACGACACAAAAACCTCATTATAAAGTGTTCTGTGATCTAGCCATTCAGTTTAGGATCACATGATCCATAAAAACTACTTCTGTTCCCTCTTGTAACCTAAGCTTCTCTCCAGAGATAGCCCCCATTTCCTAGGAGAAGGATAGAAACCTACTGACAAGCTTCTCTGTGAAGAAATCTCTCCTTCATATGTGAAGGATTATCAATTCACTATTTTTCTCTGAAAATACAAATATCTTGAGGAAGATCAGACCTATTAGTAATTGAGGCCTTATTGTGAAGTACATGTCTAAAATATCAGGGCATGGGGATGAATAAAGATTTTTTTGCAGTATATTATTTTAAGAGCCCCAGGCCTGAGGGAGGTGTTAATATTGGAAAGGAACCAGGGAAGGCTACAGAGAGTTAGAACAGTATCCAAGACAACTGCCACTACTTTACAGCTCCGTCCAGGACCGGGCAGGTACCCTGTACTGCTGCCCTCATTTGTATTGGGCACCAGTAATAACTGCCAGTCATGGTTACCATCCTTGTTATTTACCACTCAAGATGCTCTAACATTGTGCTTCGTGCCCTGAGTCACCACCCTCCCTTAATCCAGAAGGAATTGCTACTCCATTCCTGATGAGGAAACTGTTGAACTGAAAATTCCATTAAAGGATTTTCTTCCGCAGTGTCAATGCAGCCATCTTTTCTATAATGACAAAGTTTGGCTGCATGGATGGCTTTGTGGATGGGAACTTGCACTAGGATGCCGCTGAGCTCCTCCTATCCTTCCCCGAGGCTCCAGCTCCTTACACACTCCTCCACTAGAGTAACCACACCACATACCCGGGGAACATGATCCAGGAACGAGGAGGAGGAAAGCATACTTGTTTCGTGTATTATTTCACCACAGGAAGCCTGAATTAAGTTCTGTCTAGTTTCTGGATCCTAAAAATGGAGACTTAGTAACACATTGCTTATCTTTACCAAAATCCCATTACAGAAAAACTGAAGCTTTACAGTGCCCATAGCAGCAAATTTCACCTGCATCATGTAGCCCTTTGTGCCACAGAAGGTGTAAGCAGCTGGGCCTCAGTTAAAACCACCTTGTCAGGAGACAGAGGCTGCAGAAGGTGGAGAAGGCCCACCGCAGTCCTCAGAACCTCAGGTCTCAGACTGCACAGTAGTCACATCTGTCAGCTTCCTCCTCCTTTTCCTCTGAATTTGAGCGAAAATGGATTAACTTATTTCTGTTAAACGCTGAACCAAACTCTGAATCATGGTCCCAAGTATTGTAGAATCTCAACCAAAAAGAATTAGTATCACAAGGGAGCAAAAGGTGGTCCATGGATGAGGATGCTCTTAAGCACAGACACACACACACACACAGTGCATGCAGTACCTCTGACAGCAAAATGTCCTGGGGAAGGCACTAGAGGCTCCTTGGGGAAAACAACAGGGAATAAAAACAAGGCTGAAAAACACCAATTAAATAAAGATGTTTTCATGACTCCAACCTGAGATTTCAAAGTTGTGATTTTAGAAATGAAAATAATACATACTTGTCATTTCATCCAAATTTCAAGAAACTTGATCTCCAAGACTTTTTAAGTCTATATTCAACAAAATTCAGGCAGGTTTATAAGACCCCGAGATGAATATCCAGTTAACTGTTGACCAAGCTGCATTAGCTTCCACCACAGGCACCCTGCAGCTCCTGGGGTGAGCATGCCAACCACCGCCCTCACTGGGTCTTCAACTGTGGGGGAGAGGTATGCTGTGGTCACCATAAGCCTCGCAGGTGGAGGAGGTTGAAGAGGGATCAGCTTGATATGAGAAAGATTATAAGGACACGGATACAGCACCTAATACCAGAGCTTGACAGCTGATCCACTAGCTCCTTGCGAATAAAGTCTAACTGCGTCATAAGTGAACACCTGTGCTGAAGTACATACCACCCAGCAAAGGAAGGTCACATCACTAGGACCTCAGAGATCCCCTTTGGGGCTTTTCTTGGTCCCGACTTCTATCTCCATAAATTAGTTTTTGTTTTTGAACTTCATATACATGCAATCTGACAGTAAACTTACGTACTTAGCTTCTTTTGCTCAGCATTGTTGGTGAAATACATCCTCATAATGCAAATAGCAGTAATGTTTATTTCTGCTTAGTATTCTATGTACGACTATACCATAATTTATCTACCCACCATACTCTTGGGTTAGGTATGTCTTTCAGTCAGTTATCTACCTAGGAACAGAATTGCCAGGGTCATAGGGTAGCCATGTTTTTCTTTAGCCATTTCCACAGTTGGGTAAACTGGTTGTATCAAGCCTCTGCTATCAGTGCTGAGAGATCCATTTGTCTCAGGTGCTTGGTATTATTATAGTAATTCTGCTAGGAACACAAGGCTATTTGTGATGTGCATTTTCATTTTCCTTATACCTAATGAGGTTAATCATTTATTTATTCACCTATTTAGTGACTGTTTGGATATACTTTATTGTATACCTGCTCAAAATTCCTTCCTGCTCCCCATCCCCTTTATCCATTAGGTTTTGTATTTTTGTGAGCTTTTTCCCTACAAACACACACTGATTTATAAGGCTTTCTTTAATACCTGACAAGGGACTCAGAACATAAAAGTACCACCTTTTTCCATTCTGTGGCTTGAGTTGTCACTATCTTAAAGATACCCCTTTTATTTACTGCCTATTCTGTCCTATTTTGAGAAATCCTTGTCCATCTAAAAGACATGAGGATATTATCTTAAGTTTTCTTATAAGAGCTTTCTTGTTTTCATGATTCACATTTAGATTTGGGAGAATGATGCGAGATGGAACATTCCCCACCCCCACTTAAAGATCCAGTTTGGCCAGCACCATTTATGGGAAGGATAACCCTCTTCTCCCTGCTACATGGCAGTCGAAAACCTTTTGATAACTCGGGGGCCCTGTATGCAGAGATTTGTTTCAGGAGTCTCTCCCGTTTCCCATTTGTCTGCTGTTCTGTCCTTGCCTCAGCACCACACTGTTGAAATAACTGGATTCCTATCACATTCTGATCACTGGTGGTAGGGCTCTTCCAGTGTTGCTGTCCTTCAAGGAAATGACCATGACGTGGCTGTTCCAAGTTAAACTATTAATAGAAGCAATAGCAAACCTATGAGTTACTATAAGCTCTAATTTTCTTTTTCTTTTGAAGAAATGACAAAAATAACAGTGGGAATTCAGCTTTGACCAATAGCATGCCCGGCACACCAAGACAGAATCCATGTGCTCCTGCGAGAAAGCCAGGACCTCTGCCCCCCAGCTTGGATGACTTGAAGGTGAGGGTTCCAGGCAGACCCTACTCTTACATAAGTGCCCAGAAAATGGGAACAAATGGCCAGATTTGTCTGTCACATGTGCAGTTTTCAGTGGCCATTCAACCTTAGCAGCAAAATGACAAGCCTTGTAGAGGTCTTTTCTCTTTACTTCCCTTATGCATCTTTCAAGATAGATAATAGCAGCTCTTAATTACCTAGCATGTGCTTTGTACAAGCACCATAGAGAGACCACATTCACATAATTTTTATTGCAGTGTATTAACAATTGTTCCATATTTTTAATTATTGCTATGTCTTACTGTGCCTGATTTATAAATTAAACATCAGTATTTGTGTATAGGAAAAAACATTGCATGTATAGGGTTCAGTACTCACCACAGTCTCAGGTACTTATTCCCTATGGATAAGGGGGCCACTGTGTATTCTTGATCTGCCAGAAAGTTATAAAAACCGAGAGACCTGATTTGTCTGTACTTCCAGGTATCGGAACTGAAGACAGAACTAAAGTTGAGGGGTCTGCCAGTGTCGGGCACCAAACCGGACCTCATTGAGCGCCTGAAACCCTACCAGGAGGTCAACAGCAGTGGCCTTGCCTCTGGCAGTATCGTGGCAGTGTCATCATCGGCCATCGTCACCAATAACCCAGAAGTCACTGTGGCATTGCCAGTCACAACCCCACAAAACGCTGTGACTACAGTCTCTACTTTGAAGGCAGAAGTGCCGACTACTGCACCCACCAACACAGCCCATGCTGAAAACATTCATTCCCCTCTGCCAATCTCCCCCTCGCCCTCCGATCAGTCCAATTTGAGTACTGACGACACAAACATGGCAGACACTTTCACCGAGATCATGACCATGATGTCTCCCTCACAGTTCTTATGCTCCTCTCCCTTGAGAGTGGCAAACCACGAAGACAGCCTGAGCCCCACCAGCAGCACCCTGTCAAACCTGGAACTGGACGCTGCCGAGAAGGATCGCAAGCTTCAGGAGAAGGAGAAGCAAATCGAAGAGCTGAAAAGGAAACTGGAACAAGAGCAGAAGCTTGTGGAGGTTCTGAAAATGCAACTTGAGGTGGAAAAACGAGGGCAGCAGCGGCCACCAGAACCCCAGACTGGCACCCCTGCTCCCTCTGTCACAGCGGATCAGAAACATGGCGGCCCTGGTTCTTCCATCAAGGACGAGGCCTCACTCCCTGACTGCTCCAGCCCCCAGCAGCATATGCCTGTGGCCAGCCACTCTGTAGGCCAGCCCATCTCTACAGGTGGCCAAACCCTTGTTGCTAAAAAGGCTGTAGTCATCAAGCAAGAGGTCCCCGTGGCACAGGCAGAACAGCAGAGTGTGGTCTCACAGTTTTATGTGAGTTCCCAGGGACAGCCTTCTGCCATTGTCGCCCAGCCCCAGGCTTTACTGACCACGCAGACTGCTCAGCTGCTGCTCCCGGTGTCTATCCAGGGTTCGAATGTCACCTCAGTGCAGCTGCCAGTAGGCAGCCTCAAACTCCAGGTGGGAAGCATGTCATGAATTTGCCTTACAGCACACCCAGAATGGAGACCAGTGACAGAACCCCCTGAGTCCTTTCAGAACACATCCATAGGCGTCACAGTTGTAGAACACATGTGGGTGAGGAGAACCATTCCAAAAAAAAAAAAAAAAGGGAATAGCTAGGACCGTTTTAAATGGTAAAAAACAGACACGGGTGCCTTTCTCTGACCTCTTCCCTTCAATGAATGCAGTATCATGTACAGATGCTTTTCACCCATTTTGTCCGATCACCTTGTATATTTGTTCAATGTCCTATATGTAGGGCAGTTTATATATGTGAAAGTTAGGATAGTATCTCAATGTCCTACTTATAGGACCACTTATCTTTATTCTTGATGAAAATAAGGATTTAGAGCTTATAAATCCTTTATTTTAATTTAGACCTATTTTAATGTACCCATATCACAATTTCATCAAAATATTGGCAGATTTGAAAGTTTGGGACTTCATGGGTTCAAGGTCAGTGGCATTGTCATGAATGATAAGTGCTCCACGGCAGCAGCTTCCATACCCATCAGGAACTAAAGTGGCTTACTTCACTTAACCTTTCCTCCCCCAGAAGAGCCATATGATGTAGCCCAATTCTAGATGGGGAAACTGAGGCCTGGAACAGTTGAGCTCAAGGACAAGGCTGATGTTTAAACCCAGATCTTCCAGACTCTAAACCTCTGCTTTTACTCCATTCTATTCTGCCTCCCAGACTTAATTCTTGTAAGGCTCACATTAATGTGAAGGTGCCTCAACTAAGGAGGCCATGACCGCAGATGGAGGAGTGTGGATATCATGAAAAGGGGATAAAACACCCAAGGGTAGGTTTTGTGTTTACATAACCTGCCTGTTTACCTGAGGTGGCTTTTGTATATGTGAGTTTAATAGGTTTTTCACAAAATGTGGATCAGGAGTAAACAAACCGTTTGGACCAGTACTTCCCAACCTTGATGACCCAAATACTTCTAATAGCAGAGAGGAATACCCTTGTCCCCCTGTAGTTAGTGGGCATGACCCAAAGGCCCTTGGCATGTGCACAAAGTCTGTCTCCCCATTCTGGCTCTTGAGCATCTATGCCATTGAAGATCTACTCCATAATATATCTTTTAAAATTTTTTTGATCCAAATCTTCTATTAGAGTTGTTGTAGGAACAAAGACTTTTATTCTGTGCCTTTGTATACCCTAGAGCATTGCAGGCCATCCCCAGGGAGTATCTGCTGCAGCTTTATAGAAGCAGGAATCTGGGCAGATGGGCCTCAGATTTCCTAGTTGCTATTAAATGTTTTTCAGTACCTGACCTATGAAGTGTAGTATCTATGAATTACTATTCTCGTTTTCTAATTTTCCCAGTTTTCAGATATCATTTCTTATGTAACTAAGAAATTTAAGGGCATGAAAATAACTGGCTTAGTGTTTGATACCGATTTAGAATTGTTAAGTTTCCAAGAAGAAAGGTTGGTCAGTGGGTATTTGACTAAGTTATAGTCAAATAGCAGCAAGAAGTTCTAGCATGCTATTGTAGACGAGGGTGAGTGTATATAACAGTTGTGTACCATATATTTCAAAAAGCCAGAAGAAAGGAGTTTGAATGTTTTCACTAAAAAGAAATGATAGGCGATTGGGACGTAGCTTAGAAGTAGACCACTTTTCTGGCAAGCACGAGGCCCTGGGTTCCATCCTCAGCACCACAAGAACATTTTCTTTTTTTACTGTTTGACCTGATTTAAACATTATACAGTAGTATGTGCATTGGAACCTTACATGGGTAGCCTATTAATATGTCTAGGTTCTGTTTTATATGTAAGTTCAAAAAATTTCAAGTGGATTAAGGTTCAGCTTTATGCAAATGAACTGGAGTGTGTACCTGTAAACATTGTCTTATTCCATTTTAGATTTGATTTCCAGTTAATTCTACATCTAACATCTTGAATCCAGCTCTGCTTCTGACAATTCACTGATTTTTCTTGACCTCCTAGACTCCACCACAAACAGGAATCCAGACTCAGCCTCAGACAGCAACTGCTGCACAAATACCAGCTGCAGCCCTGCCCTCAGGCCTGGCCCCAACTGTACCTCAGAAACAGGAGGCTTTCCCGCAGCACGTGCTCAGCCAGCCCCAACAAGTCAGAAAGGTTGGTGGCTGATCCCAAAGGTCATCTCCTCATCTTCCCCACCTGCTCCTTGGGAAGCCCCACTGCTCTTTCTTATGGTCTTTCTGCCACAGAACATGCCCTGGGTCAGATGTTGTTTGGCAGATTTTCCAGTTGTTCGGAATTGAGAGAGTTCTTTAGTACTAATAGCTTAACAATTAAATCCTTTTCCCAAGTAAAAGGTTCAAAAGTATATTTTTTAATCCTTATACACTAAATTTAAATAAATTTATTTTAAAACTCAGTAAAGTTAAATGTGCTATTCCCTGGGGAAAGATATGTGAAGATTGAAAGGATACTTCTGACTTCTCTCTCTCAAGTAAGATCTTTATGCTGTAGGTATTCAGAAACCAGAGGTTTTTACCATCACAGCCCCCAGTGCTGGGTGCTTGGCTTCCTGCACAGTTTACTCACTTCCTCATCTTCATATGAGGGTATTGGCCTAGGACTCATCCTGAATACAAGTTCCTTCCCCAGACTCAGATCTTCATCATCCCTCAGTGGGCTGGGAAGGTAGCTTAGAAGTGGAGCACTTGGCTAGCCTGTGCCAGGCTGGTAGGGTGGGCAGGGTGTGCACTAAGTAAACAACATTCCCTCTTGTCCAGTAGGTGGAGCTGTGTACACATCTTCTTGCCAGAAAAATCCAAAGGCCCCCAAAACAGGTACCACTATCTTAAACCTTGAGAACTGAGTCCCAGGGTTTAGGCAGTTAGGTATGCTATCAGTACGTCTTGAGGTAGTCCGAACTGCTGGACCCAAGACAATATGAAGGACAAAGATCAACGACCATTTTTAGCAGTAACAGACATACTGACATGCACAGGTCCCCTCGGAGACACAGCATTAACTGTCCACAGTTGTATGTTACTGAGCTTCAGAAAAGCTCACAATACCATTGTCGTATTGTTGTTATGAGCTCAGTAAGTGTTCACATGTTCAGACAGTTTTCTTTGGGTTAGGGAAGAAAGAGGAAAATATAGACACAGGATGACAAGTTTATTCACTAAGTCTTAAAATACTAGAATTAGGAATCATCATTTCCAGCTTACAGGAAATGATGTTTTACAAACGTAAGGAAATTCAGCTTTTTCCAGTAGGAGCATATTTATAGAGCTCTTCATTCAGAGGTTATATATGTGTATCCATCCAAAAAGTATAACTTTTGTGCTTAAGAAAATACTCATATGCTGGGCATGGTGGTACACACCTGTAATCTCAGCAGCTTGGGAGTCTTCAAGTTCAAAGCCAGCCTCAGCAATTTAGTGCGGGCCTAAGTAACTTAGCAAGACCTTGTCTCTAAATTTTATTTTTTATAATTATACACACACACACACACACACACGTATATGTATATATACACACATATACATATACATGTGTTTTATATATATATATTTATTTATATATATATTTATATATATATATTTATTATATATTTATATATATTTTTATATATTATATATTTATATATATATATATAAATAAAAATGGCTGAGGCTGTGGCTCGGTACCTCTGGGTTCAGTTCCAAGTTAAAAAAAAAAAAAAGAAAAAAGAAAGAAAGAAAACTCATGCACCAGGTGCAGTGGTATATGCCTGTGATCCCAGCAGCCTAGGGGGCTGAAGCAGGAAGATTGTGAGTTCAAAGTCAGCCTCGGCAACTCAGTGAGACCCTGTCTCTGAATATAATAAAAAAGAGGGAAGAGGGGTGCTGGGGATGTGACTTAGTGGTAAAGCACCCCTGGGTTCAATCCTTGGTATCCAAAAATAAATAAATAAATAAGATACTCATTATTTGATAAAAATGAAGGTTTTTCCTCTTTCAGAATACTAAGAAAGTGTATTAAATATTTTTATGCATAAACCAAGTTGTATGAAATACAGTACTCTATCAGCAACATCCCCATGTATTTGTAAAAACATAAATTTGTGAAAATCCTCAAAACGCCTGACTCTTTATATAACTAAACAAAATGTTCCTGTAATCCCAGCAATTTCCTTCCACAGGAGGAAATTCTCACCTCTGACTAACAGAGCAGAAACAGCTTCTCAGAAGGGGGCAGATTTTAAAGGCAAGAGAGCCAGTGGGTGTGGTAGGGGCTGCATTAGTGTGCGCTTGGAGTAACAAGGAGGCTCCGCAGCTTCCCAGCTAGAGCTAGAGTAAGGACCTGGGCCAGGACGACAGGACAGAGGCCCAAGCCCAGAGGCATCACTAGATAGCAAGTGCTGAGCGGGGACTAGAGTGACCTGATACTACTCTTACCTAGGTGTAAGAAGGAAAATAGAACTGAAGCAGAGTCAAGAATTATTGCCTCTCAGAGGCTGGGCCAGTGAGAATACAGAGAAGAATTCATATCACTTTTGAGGTGTCCAGGAAGGTGATGTGGAGGAGGCCTTGGTGCTGATGGGTAAGGTTAAGAGACTAGAGAGGCTTGAGGATAATTAGCTCATCCTGACCCTGAAACCTGAGAGGAGATCACCTAGTAAGGTGGTCAGAAATTCAGCTGTCACTTTAGAGGGAAGCCTGGAGAAAACCTCCCACAGGGCTGTCCGCACCAGCAAGTTGCTCAGGAGAAGTGAGTGTGCTCCAAAGGAAGGTCAGGCAGCCCCAGGCCAGGCAGATGCAGCCCACCTCCTGTTTCTATAGATAGCATTTTGTTGGCTCACAGCCACTCCCATTTGTTTCGTTGTGTCCTTGCTGCTTTCCTGCTAGGATGGCAGAGGTGAGCACTTCCGAGAAGATACGTGGCCCACACGCCTTAACCTCAGGACTCTTTAGCCCTTTACAGAAGTTTGCTGACCCTTCTCTGAAACATGGCTTTTTTTTTTAAATACTTCATTAGGGAAAGCAAAAGAACAAATTGAATGAGAAATAACTTATTCATTACAGGTTTTCACAAACTCGGCACCAAATACAGTTCTTCCATATCAGAGGCAACCGGCTCCAGCAGTCCAGCAGCCCTTTATCAGTAAGGCCTCCAACTCTGTTCTTCAGGCCAGAAGCCCTCCACTTTCATCCCTGCAAAACGGACCCAACACTCCCAGCAAGGTAACCCTGTAATGACCTCAGCCAACAGGGCTTGCTGACATTGGCAGCACTCCAGTTCCCCACCCTTTAGGCTGGGAATGACCACCTATCAGTGTTGGTGGGGTGATGGCACCTTGTTAAGGAGGAGCCCTGCTGTGGTCACACAAGGTGACCCACCAGAGACCTCAGCTGCCCAGGTCCTTAAAGAGCTGCTGCTGAAGATCTTTGATTGGCAAGAACCGCAGAGCTGAGTCTAGCCAGGGCAGGAGCAAGCTTGCTGCCAAGAGCTAATTCATGCTCCTCCTCTATTTGATACAGCCTAGCTCGCCCCCTCCACCCCAACAGTTTGTCATCCAGCACTCTCTGTTTGGGACCCCAGTCACCAAGGCAAAAGACCCACCCCGCTACGAAGAGGCCATCAAGCAGACACGCAGTGCACAGTCCCTTCCAGAGGTGAGTGTGGACAGTCACAGTTCATGAAACTGGTGTTTCATGAGTTCCCCCCACCCATCCTCAGCAGCCCTATACCAGATCCCTTGTCTTGAGACTGATTTGCCTTAGTGAAACAAAAATTATAATCAGGAGCTTCATATTTTAACTGGTATTTAAAATCTCAATCTCATTATGAAGAATCCCAAACATTTCTATAGGAGAAATTACCTGTAGGTACTGCTTATTCAGAATCCAGGGTTTGTCTAACTTTTCGTTTGATACAGAGGGATCAGTTATGTTAGGGGCTCATGTGCTCGATAGCAGGGCACATATTTTATTCAGCTTCCTCATTTCTAAAGCCACCTTTGTCAGGCCAGCTAAATCCACCTTACCCTGCATCATCTCTCCTAGTCTCTAGTACCCTCTGCCCCTCAGGGTACACTGTGGATTTGACAGACCTGCAGTTCTCCAGGCTTTGCAATACCTATGCCCACCGACATTGACCTCTGAGCCTTGTTTCATTGAAAAAACAGGAACAGTTGCAGCTGCCCCTGTGTATAAATCATCTGGCCTGTGGCGAAAGCCCAGACCTAGCAGCACTCGTCATCCCTTACCCTAAACACACCTCCGACTCTCCCCACCTCTCCAAAGCTCTTTTAAAGCTTAAAACTTAACTTTCTAGAAAGGACCCCAGCCCCATAGAGCATACAAACCGGTTCCCCTCCACCAGGGGGATGTGTCATCACACCGTAGTTGACTGGACCTACCTTGTAGCCAAAGTGAGCATCTATAGAAACTGGCAGATGACAGTGTGCAGTTGGGCACCCTCACAGAGGGCACATGGATGCTCAGGCCTGTGGTGGACTGCCTGTCTGAGGAAACAGACGGTTGCCATATGTTTCTAGTATCCACTTAGTGCCAAGAGAAGACGGCCTCTCTAGTTGTAAAAACATTCCCTCAGTTCCAGACTCAACAAGGGACCCATGAGGAAAAACCCAAATTTCAGGAACAGGTTTAAACATTTAGAATAAAAATCGAAACAATTAAGAGTCACCTAGAAGTCAACTAGACTGTCCTCCCCCGTGGTCCACTCAAAAGTAACATGTATTCTTCATAGGGAGCAAAAATGAGTTGGCAAGGGCTGATGTGGCTCAAGCGGTAGCGCGCTCGCCTGGCATGCATGCGGCCCGGGTTCAATCCTCATCACCACATACAATGATGTTGTGTCCGCCAAAAACTGAAAAATAAATATTTAAAAAAAAAAATGAGTTGGCAAGTGCTCAACTAGTGTTGTTATGAAAATAGAAAGGTAGAACTGATCCTTCCAAACCTGGCTTTCATGTGTAGGCTTATTAGCACTGTCTCCTTGATTTATGTAACAAGAAAGGAGCAGCTTTCTCTTTAACCTAAGACAACTTGTTGGAACCCATGGGGTTTACGTGTCTCTGGGTTCATATTTACAGACGAAGGGAGACAAGTTCTCCGTTTGTGAGTAGGAGTAACACTGTGTCTACAGTCCCTCTTTATGTGCCATTGAGCACCCAAACTCCAGAAATTCAGTGGGGTTTGTTTGTTTCTGAAGTACATTTTACTCAGACATCCAGTGCCATGGGTGGCTCAACAAGGCTATCCTGGTTTAGTCTTCCCACAGGTAACAGCTGTAAATCCTGATCACGATACAAAAAGCAGCTAAATGAAGGCATTGAAGACGAGTAGAAGTAGTCACGTTCCAGTGAGAGTCCACACTGGGAGAGAGAAGTCACATGGCAGGAGTTCCCTCTTCTTGCTCTGGGGTCATGCTAAGTGTCAGGGTCACTCTTAGAAAGTGACCTAGACACCCTGTGGTCTAGATACCAGAGGACAGGGTTGAGAGCAGCCAAAGGGAAAGAAACAGAAAGAATCCCACCTTCTGTCTGCCTCTCTGGCTGACCCCTAAGCCACATAGGCATGGTAGACTCAGCAGCTCAGGTGAAGACAAATCTAAACCAAGATGGAACAGCTAGCTACCCCAGAGATGTTTCTCAGTTGAAGTCCAACCACATTAATAGCTTACTAAACCAAAAGAACCTGCTCATCTTAGAGCAATGAGAACATCCACACCATCCACTTCTAACATGCAACATCAAGGTTGTGGAGAACAGCCTGTCTTCAGAAGAGGCAATCAGTTGAGGCGAGACCAACTCAGAGCTGATCTACATGTTGGAGTTTGCAAACAAGGGTTTAAAGGAGCCACCTCCTCAGTGATGTGAAACAAAATATGTTTATAATGAAGAGAGACAGGGGATCTAAACAGATACAGAAATGATTTTTTAAAGGCTAAATGGAAATTCTGGAACTAAAATATCTGAAATGGAAAAAAAAAATCATAGATGAACTTCACAAAATGGAAATTCTGGCAGTTGGCGGGGGGAAGTCAGTGAACTGGAAGACAGCTCAGTAGAACTTACCCAGTCTACTTACCAAGCCTCAGAGCCCTGTTATGTAACAATATGATGCAGATATAAGACAAGGAGAGACGAGAAGAATGAAACAGATGGATATTTGAAGTAATGTCAAAACTTCCAGAAATATAATGAAAGATAAATTTATAGCTTTGAGACACCCAATAAACACCAAGTTGGGTAAATAGAAAACCTAGTCAAATTATCAAGAGCAAAAGTTAAAGAAAAAATAATTGAAAGCATAAAGAAAAAAGCAACACATTACATATAGGGCAAAAAGTTGATTAATGTCAACTTTTCATAAAAAAGTATGGAAAGAAGAATAAAATAACATTTTTGAAGTTCTAATTCATCAAAGATAGCATTGTCTTGTTTATAACTTAAATATTTACAACTGATAAATTCGAGGAAATAAATGGATCTATACAGTTACAGTATTCCCTATTTTTTATGTATTGTATAGCTATAGGAGCAATTTTTTTTTCATATAATGAAATGAAACTAAAAAAAAAAAAAATTCTAACTTTTTCTAAAGTATTTTTTGAGGACAGGAAGGAAAGAACAGGGAAACAAAAACCAGACAGGACGACTAGTAAATAATAAAATGGTAAACCCAAATTTAACCAGTAATGACCAGAAACACAGCATTAATTAATCAGTAATGACCAGAAACACAGCAGTTAACAATTCAACGAAGATGATCGTCTTTAGACACTTAAAACTTTACCTAAATGAAATATAGATACTGTATTAGAGACTTCTTGAAATCCAGTTCAGTGATAGAAAATAAGGGAAGTGTGGAAGTCAGCTGGGCTAACATCTTATTCCCTTCTTACTTAGCTCTTAGCCAACCTAGCCAGCTGTGACTCTTGGGGTAAATGGCTGAACTTCTTGGGTGACCTCATTTTCCAACTCATCAAATTACAGATTAGAAGTGGATGTTCTGTGAAGTCCATCAGTACCCCCACCTTCGTACGCAAGACTGCTAACACATTTTCTCCTTTGCCGTAGATTTCCAACGCACACAGTCAGCAGATGGACGACCTATTTGATATCCTCATAAAGAGTGGAGGTAGGTCAGAGGTCATGCTGCCCACCGCCCCCCCAGGAAATAGCTTCTCCACACATCTGTGACAGGTCTCCTCCAGAGCTTTAGGTCATTACAAGGAAAAGTCATTGATTCAGCTCCAAACAGTAATATTACATTAGATTTATCCATAGATATCTGCCTGCTGAAAAAGATTCATTGCCAAACAAAGTAAAACTGGATTTAAATTCCGTGTTGAAAATTTCAAATTGTATCCCTTGAGTATCACTCATTTTCAAGGGATGAGAACATTCCAGTTCTACTTTAATTCTTTGACAACCATGTTACCCTGTTTGGGCAAAAGCAATAATACTAAAGAACTTTGTATATATGTAGTCTTAAAAAGGAATTTTAACCACAAAAAGTGTCAAGATTATCTGTGCCACACTTACACGTCTTTAAAAGGAAGAACAAATCAGCATTTAAAGTTCAAGGGCTGGGGGTGTAGCTTAGTGGTGGAGTGCTTGCCCAGAATTCACAAAGCCCCAGGTTTGTATCCCCAGCACCACAGAAAAAGAAAGTTAAATACAAATGCTATTTAGTATTGTAAAGTACCTTTAAGTTATCCGATGAAAGTAGTTTTATTTGAATTTTGAAATGCCGATTGAAATTTCTCCACTCATAACAGATATTTTTGATATTGAGGTTGATGTTATGGTTAGAATGTTGGGCATAGCAGAGAATTCTTGATTTGCCTATAGATCTGCATGTGCAAATGGTTTGGGTTTTTTTTTGTTTTTTTGGTTTTTGGGTTTTTTTTTGTTTGTTTGTTTTGTTTTGTTTTGGGCTAAGAACTACATTGGCCTTGCAAAATAATTTAAGTTCATGGTGTATATAAACTATTGAAATTTTTGAAATAGACATTCAATTCCCTCATTTTTAGGATGAAAAGTTTTTGTTAAATCTGGTAAAGATAATAAATCTTAAAAATTGTTAAATTTTTATGACCTAAACTTGGAAATTCAAATGCAAAGTCAATCAACAACTGAGTTATTTTCAAAAAGCAGTTTTTATGAGAAAGTATATAATAGTATTCTATAAGTACAGTATTTCATCTTATCAGTAATAAGAACTAAAATTTAAATAGTTGATTATAAGAATAGTTAAACTGCACTCGGTTTTCAAAACAAAAATGATCCAGAGCACACAGTTGTCAATTCATTAGTGGGAATCAAATTTTAAGTGTTTTTTCCTCTCACCCATTTAAGAATCTGAGCTTTCATTAGTTTAATCTATTTTCCCTCGTGTACCTGCATAAAAATGAAACCAGTTATATCCTCATGAAAGTCATTCAAATATACACAGCGAAGTGAACACCTGTGTGTATAATAAATGGTCCATTAATTCACCCCTTGATCTGGCAAAGAGTAACACAATCAGAATTTATCAGGGCAGGACCGAATCCTCAAGATTATACAAACTTAAAAAACAGGAGAGGGAAGTAAGCAGGTGATCCACCTTGTCTTAAGAAAAAGGTGGAAGGAGCCATGTGTTGTCAAAAATTTAATAAGATGTCCTTGTAGGGCTGGGGTTGTGGCTCAGCGGTAAAGTGCTCACCTAGCACATGTGAGGCACTGGGTTCAATCCTCAGTACCACATATAAATAAAGGCATTGAATTCACTTATAATTTTTTTTTTTTTTTTTTTTAAGAAAATGTCATTTGTTTTCAGAACTTTATACAAAATGCGTATGGCTGAATTGGGGACACAGTCCAACTATAATAATTTTTTTTTTTCAAAGAAAATATTAGATCTTTCTTAATATTAAGAATATACTTCGGGTCTCTTTGAAAACTCAGGAGAAATATTTCCATTCAATTTGAGGATCTCATGCAGTTATCAGCAGATTCACAGTGTCAGATAAGAAAGGAGCCATACCTTAAAACCTTAATGACTAAGAATAAGGACCCAGTAATTAAATAAGCCCTTGATTCCTGTCAAGTAGGATATTATAGCTTGCAATGCTTAGTCTTACTGAGGAAAAACTGAAAACACATCAGAATGTAATAAGCTTTTGTTTTATCTACTTAGCTAAAATGATTCATCATCCTAAAGATTATCAAGGATTAAACCTGACGAATAGCATTTCTCTCATCTCTAAGAGGGGTGAGAATAAGAGTCACAAAATAGCAAAATAACTGCCCTATTAATAGAAATTTTAAAATAGTAAATCTTTACTTATTTTCCAGAGATTTCCCTCCCTATAAAAGAAGAGCCTTCCCCAATTTCCAAAATGAGGCCAGTGACAGCCAGCATCACTACCATGCCAGTCAACACAGTGGTGTCCCGGCCACCACCCCAAGTCCAAATGGCACCACCTGTGTCCTTAGAACCTATGAGTAGTTTATCCGCCAGCTTAGAGAACCAACTAGAAGCCTTCTTGGACGGAACTTTACCTTCAGGCAGTGAAATGGCTCCACTACAAAGCAGCAGTGAAGACAGGGAACCCTTCTCCCTGATCGAGGATCTCCAGAACGAGCTGCTGAGTCACTCTGGCATGCTGGGCCACGCACACTCACCCATGGAGACCTCCGAGGCCCAGTGTGCTGCAGGGGCTCCCTGTCTGTCTCTCGACCTCTCAGACTCCCACCTGGACAGCATGGAGTGGCTGGACATCACCATGCCCAACACATCCTCGGGGCTCACTCCCCTCAGCACCACTGCACCAAGCGTGTTCTCTGCGGACTTTCTAGACCCACAGGACCTCCCGCTACCATGGGACTAACATCATAGGCTGCTTGTCTCAGAATTCATGAGGTTTCAGAATATGAAGAAGATTCTAAGAGGTCAGTTTTTAGATATAGATCCATAGTTGCATTGTTGCAATTAAAACATGTAATAGAAAGAGTAGCTAAGAAGGTCAAGTCCTGGAAACCAAGTTTGAAACCTTTCATTGCATTCAGCAGTGAATTCCTACAATCTAACATGGCACAGGGCCTTCTGAAACACTAGTCCAAGAAGACTCGCCTGGTTCTCCAGACTGCAGTACAGAAGGAAAAGTACCTTTAGATAAAGACATAAGAAAGGGTAAGACATGCAGGAAAATGACACTAGGATTCTCTGGTAATCAACTACATGTAAACCTCTGTGGTCACTGGGACCCTAAATAAAAGGCAGACAGCTCCACTCACAAACCAAGGCCGCAGTGAGGGAGAGGAGAGGTCTCTGCAGGAGCCACTTCCTAGAGATGGCCTGAGCCAGCCAAGGCACAGCGGGGAGCCAGAGAGTGGAGAGTGCTGCCCAGCTTGGTGCGACAGCTTCCAAAGGAAGACTTTTGCTCCATTCAGAAACCTATGTGATTTTTTTTGTTGTAGTTTATTTTGCAATTTTTGGAATCTTACTTTAGAATTCCAAATTTAAATGGAAGATATTTCACCACAACCATATGTCTACAGGATATTGTCAGACAATCCACTGTAAAAAGTCCAGGTATATTGATAACACTGAAAATTCTATTAGCAGCCCTCTGGGTTGATTAGATTGGTTTTAATGTGTATATTAGGCATTTATATGTACACTCTGACTTTGTGATTTGTATAGCTGACGTTAGGGTAAGGAAATGGGTATCCAGTGGTCCTACTTTAAGAACTCAATATTTCTAGAGTACTTGAGCCACATGTATTTTTCATATTTAAAGAATTGCTGACTAACTTTCAGGTAACCAGACCCATCTCAATGAACCAAGAAAAGGCTAGCATGAAATGTCTTTCTGAGCTGGTGAATTAGAAGAATGGAAGGTAAGGGGGAAGTCTTCTGTGAACCAGGACCAGGACATTCCCACCTCAAGTCCAAGTTAGACTGTCATGAGCTCGGCCACCAGACCCCAGCTCTGGCTGTCTTTGTCACCAGTCCCTGGTTATCATCTTACAGGCTTGTAACTGGATGTCCTACCCAAGCTCTCACTATATTATCAAGCCTAAATATCAAAAAACTGGAGGTTTTATTAGTTTTTTTTTTTAAATATAGAAAAACATTATCACATTTGTCAAGTAGTTTAAGAAATTTTCTGAAATGCCAACTATCACAAGATTTCCCAAATTATTTTGATCTAGTAGTTTTAGGTATATATAAAATGTAAATAATGGAACAAAAAACTGAAATCTTCCAAACAAGGGTGGAGGGCTTTATTAAATAATGACACTGTGCCGTCTCCTCACCCTGTGTAGGCCCAAGGGCCAGGTTGATTCCTGGGTCATTAGATGGTGGATGCTCCACACAGTGACACGCAAGAGGCAGCCTGACCCATTGTTTGGGAAGAATTTGTAAATCATTTCTGGGTTTGTGTTTTGCCTAAAAATATAATTCTTTTTTGGTCTATAAATTTTACTATATGTAAGAAAAGTCCACCTTTCCAACACTAGCTCCCTGGAGCCCTCTGTTAACTGCACTTTCTGGCTTGAAGGTGCTGATGGTGCTGACATGCAAGGCAGAGGCCACTGTGCTCAACGTAGTCAATGATGAAACTGGCAACCCACCCCAGGGTATGGCAAATCTGTGACCAGCTCCCACCCAGGCAGATGAGGGCTTCCCAGCATAGCTAATGGGACCCAGGTCAGTTCCTGGGTAGGGATGGTCTCCAGAGCCAGGTTATCACTTGGGAAGTGACCTTCCCTATGGAAGGTCTTAGCCCTGGATTTTCTGAGGGCTTCTGTCTGGGGTTCATCAGGTCCACAGTCTCCAAGCACCTTCTTTGTTCAGATTTTAATAGTGTTAATTAGCACCGACTAGCAGTGGGACTGTAGAAGGCAACTGAACACCTTGTGCTCCTAATGCCTGTTGAGTGACTTCCTGGTTCCTTAATCCCGAGTTGCATACACAGATCGTTTTCCAGCCCTCCGGTCCCTTCATCAGTAGGGACCTGAGAACTTGAACCACACCACAGAAAGTTTGCTCTCCAGAAACACATCACGCAGCACAAAGAATGCCGGCTTGTTAGCAATGTGTAGTCAAAGAGCAGCCTACATGCGCTCGAGCCTTGGTGTGCAGCGTCTCGTCCTCCAGAAGGCAGTGGGCCTGCAGCACCTCCCGCCAGCAGCCATCCCACTCGCACCATTCCACTTGGCCCTCCTTTCCCAGCCCAAGTAGCCAGCAGGCACCTGGGACACAGTGCCACTTTCCAGGGCCTCACCCCCATGTCCAGGTAAGGGCGAGCACGTGGGCAGTGTGTTGGCACGCATGTGACACAACCAAAGACCACTCTGCACACCAGGCCTTTGACCTGGCAGAGGTGATGTGCATGTACTAAAGGTGGCTTTCTGCTGTTGGAAGCTAGTTTCATAGCCATTAAAGCACAGGACAAAACAGAGGACAAAGTCGAATTCTCGCTATGCATGTGTGGGGTTCAGATGTGCTGCTGTTGTACGTCATATTGCAAAGTACTCCATTGCCAAGGAAACAGGCCTAGAAACATTGTCACACCCATCTTATTTCCCTGCATAGTCTCAACACATTAGCATAGACCTTCCTTTCTACTGTAATCAGGTCAACTTCTTGGGGGTGGGGTAGATAAGAATGATGCTGAAGCTCCTAGAAAGGCTCTAGCAGTGTTGGGGGGGGGGGTCATCCTGCACATCTCATTGTAGCGTCTCCTAGGATGCGTCTTAGGTCGACGTTGGTAGATCATGTTCCAGCATCTTCCCCGAAATGTGCAAGCTACCTTATAGGATTTGCCACATATCTACATAGATTCAGAATTTGTGGAATTTTTTTTGTGAAGTTACTATGTGTTTCATGAATATCTTTGTAATATTAATAGGTCTTATTTAAATTTCCTTTTTAAAAGCCATGGGGTTCTGTGACCCATGTAACTGACACTTGCCAGCTTGTGAGTGCTATTCAGGAACAGTGGCAGAGGTGCTGCCCCAGCTGCTGCCTACAGAAGGCAGGGTCACAGAAATAAGGTGGCATCCCCAGGCCATGCAGTCCAGACACCCAGTGGCGCACAGGAATACGTTTCCCATTTTGTGGCCAGAGCCAACTTGGGCTTCCCTCACCCCTGCTCCCAGTCATTCCAGGCAGCACAGCCGTCTTCAGAGTCCTTTCAGAATTCCCAGGCTGACCAAGCCACAGCAGCTGATGAAGCAGCTGTCCCCACAGATGAGAAGGACTTGAGCTCAGAGGTGGCAGAGCACTATGGCAGGGTTGAAAGTGTCAGAGGAAGCCACATGTCAGCATTCACCCTCCCTGCCATCTCTGCAGACCATGAGGTCCGAGGTCCAAGCTCCAGAAGCACCTGAGGAGCCTGTGGCACACTGGAGACTTTAAGGACATTTGAAGAGAATAGGTATTCAGTGTCACCAGCAGGAGAACACGAAGTCCTTTAATCAAATTCACCAATAGCTCCCCTTTTCACTATCATTCACTGTACACATGAATGTCGAATACTGGCAACAGAACGCCAAGTACAATTGACCCACTGCCCCAGAGGATGCAGAATTAGCACAAGATAATCCAAGAACATGAACTGGAAGGTTAGGCTTGTCGAGCAGCACTGCCTACGAAGTTCATAAGTGTGTCTGGAGAGCTCCCTCGCTGTACTTCTGCCGGTCTTTTAAGTGACTTTAATCAAAACTGGAAAGTAACAATTAAAATAGTCTTTTTTTTTTCTGATTCAATCTTTGATCACTTGCTCATTGAACAATCTTTCTGGGCTGCTGTTCTTATTTGTGACGTGACCATGTGGCAATAAGCAGGCCCATATTTCTGCCCCATTCACCCTTTCTTGCAGTATCTGAGAAAATGCATCCTTGCAAAGGTTTCTACCTGAGATTTTTTAAGGCCTGTAAATCAAAAAGCTGCACGTGTTTACAAAAGAGCTTCATCCTCCACGCACATACATTGCTCTGTGAACCGTGATGGGAAGCACCGGAGTTTGGTGACAGTAGGATGGCAGGCAGATCCACGGGTGCTACCTGGACTCCAGCAAAACAGCCCTTGGTGATGTCAGCACAGCCACAGGGTAACAGAGCTTCATGCCAACTGCTGAGACTAAGCTTTATCCAGGTGTCTAGAATCCCCAAACACAGAACAATTACCTCTCTGCATTATGCTGTAAGAAATCTTGCTAATTTGGTAGGAAGAGGAAGCACTTAGGAAAAGGTTTAGAGTCTACCAAGAGTACTTGACCTCAAGCAACCCGTAGTGATGCAAAATGCTTTAAAACGGAACCAAAGGCATTGCCAAGTATTTGCCAAAAGGAGGCACTTTTTATTTAAAAATTGAGACTACAGAGATCTCAAAATATCAGTCCCAAAAAGGTATTATCCATTTAAGGTTGTAATTTTCACAGAGATGTAGATATTCTCTATTTTCATGTAAAATAGTTTAGAGTTGCTTTGTTGGTTTAGGAGTAGTACATATTCAATAGTAACAATTTTTTTTCCTTCCCCTATAGGAATCAGTTTTTTTGCTTGCAAATTGAAATGCAGCGTGATAGGCGTTTCTCTTATTTTCATTGTCACGTTATGTCTTAGCATCTCACTTTATGGGAAAAAAGGAGAAAGATACCAATCTGCAGAGCCCTGCTCATTACAGCACTAGTTTAAAAAATAAAAATAAAAAATTATGGCAGTCGGGGATCCATTCATGTATTGCCTTTCTGTTGTTTTTTTTTTTTTAAACCATGATGCCTTCATTTGCTGTTTGCACCCCTGAAACCAGTTCCACATCATGTCTGAATGCCATACATTTTGCACATGTACTGTACATAGATGAAGCATACTGTATTTTTATATGTGTGCGCATTTATCATCAGATCTTTTGTACATAGTGGCAGTATAGTAGCTGATCGGGAAATGTTTGATATATCTCAGCGATTTTGCATTTTTGTGTCTCAAATAAAATTTTTTTTTTGATGTACTGTGGTTTTTCCTGTGCAGAGCAGAGACCACGCCCTCTATGTCAGTGGGGCTGCCGCAGACTGGGGCTGAGGCTGACTGGGAGGAAATGCCACCTTAGGAACACAGCCCACAACAGCACAGCAAGGGCACCGTCAGGGTGCTTCACAGATCAGGTCCTAGACCCTGACCTGCAAACCCACTTTGAAAACGCCACGATTTACATCAGTCATGTGCTTTCCTCCACAATCACGGGGAAGCATCAACTAAAAGCAATAGGGTGAGATATGTAGTTCTCACTAGAGGCTGACACAGATCATACTGCACAGCATGCCCACTGAAAACCAACTCTCACTCTGATGGCAATAAACACCAACAAAATTCCTGACAGAGCCAGGCACGGTAGTACACACCTGTAAGCCCAGGGGCTCAGGAGGCTGAGGCAGGAGGATGGCAAGTTCCAGGCAGCCTCAGCAGCTTAGTGAGACCCTGTCTCAAAATTTAAAAGAGGGCTGGGGATGTGGCTTAGTGATTAAGCACCCCTGGATCCAATCCCAGTACCAAAAAAAAAATTCTTTTTAAATCCCTAAATGACTCAGCATCGGACCCTTCAATTTAACCAACTTCCAAAAGCAACCAAGACATTTTTATAGACTATAAAACATGGTTGTTACAATTCAGGTTGTTTTGTTGTTGTTTTTTTGAGATGAGCCTTAATTTCAACCTGAAAGCCTAAGGTAAAATAGTTTTGAGGAGAACAGTACCATATTTTCCTCTTTGCTTGGAAGAAACAAAATGAGTAAACTTGGTTGACAGCCAAAATTTTGACATTGCCATCTGATTAAGAAATGGGCCGGGGGAGAGGGGGGCAGACCATCAATCGCATTCACCCAAACAGCAAAACCTTCACTGACACCAGGTGCAGGGGAGCAGCTGGACAGAAGGGCAAGTCGTGATGCCTCCACAGGGCCAACCCACTGACAGTGGCCCCCGTTTCACCACACAGATCCTGCCCCCCAGGAGACACACTGAACATCAACTATTCGAGGCAGAGAAATAGCGCCACAGGGAGCTCATCTGCACTTGAGGGGGGTACAG